CCCTCCTGTCCCCCCCCCCCCCCCCCCCCCCGTTGTCGTTCCGCCCCTGGTTGCGGAGAGTCAGCGCAATTCATTGAACATCCTCTGGGGGGTCCGCTCTTTTAGTAGTCGCCGAAGGGGATTTGATGCAGGCTGTGCGCGCCGCTGGCGAAGCAAGTGCTTGAGGGGCGACGGGCATGAGACTGGACGCCGCTGAAGCGCTAGAGGGAGATGTGGCCGCCGCCGCCGCATTCTCTATGGCTGCCTCGGCTAAGTACATGCTAGGTGTAGACGTGGGCAGCACCGTCATACGGTGCCATGTTTACGATAAAGCGGCCGCGATCAAAGGCGTCAGTGCCAAGCAGGTGAGTGAAGCCGCAGAACGGTAGTGATTTGCCGTGACGGTGAGGAGCGGGGGGCGGGGTCCTTCTTTAGTAGCCCACAGGAGAGCGTGTAATAAAACTAATTATAACCATCAGTATTTCTCCTTCCCGCCATTAAAAGGGCTTCTCCGTTGGTTCTTGTCCTGCCAGGGGAAACTCTTCCTACACATCAACCAACTTTGTTGGTCGTAAAGGGGCCACTGGACTCAAACGTCGTTCTACATATCGCCCAGTTTTTCACACCTGTGTCTAGAGAGGTTCTCTCTTTTCCACAAACCTCGCACAGTTTGGGGTCTCCTTTCTTTCGTACAGCCTGCTCTCCCCCTTTGTTGCTAGATGGAGGCACTTTCCCCGCAGGAAGAAGTTCTGCTTTGGGCTCATCAGCTGATGAATCAGGAAAGGCTCTAGTTTCCTAGTTTTCCAGCAAGTCTTGCTGCCGAGCCTAGAGAATGGGCAGTGTGGTTGAGGAAAGCATCCTGTGCTGGGAATTTGTATCTTCGCCCTCTCCCTATTACATTGCTGCCCTGAGGAGCTGACAGTGGGAGGGAGTTGTGGTTGGGATCCACGTGGGTGGCAGAACTCATCTAAAAAAATGTTGAGCAAATGCTGTCCCATAAATTTCTTGTAAGGGACCTCCTACTACACTTATGATTTAGTGCTGCAGTATTGGACCAGAGAGCAGGAAGATATTCTTTAATGTCCCATGTGTTTTGTTTGATGTACAGAGTGATGTACAGAGATCAAAAGCTGATCTCTCTGGACCTAAATAGTCTATCAGTCATGCCATTTCCTACTTGCATAGTAGTTCTTCCTAAGTGAGTAGTGCATGGCATGATCCTGAGCAGGTTAATTTGTAAGTAAATCCAAATTCATGCCTTAGTCAGTATATTAGTTAGGGTTACATAGGCCTCGGTCACACGGAGCATTAGGCACGCTAAAGAGACGGAAGATAGGCGGATTTTTCGGGCGCGATCTCACCACCACATTTGGGAAGCGTAGAGCTCCTGTGGCTCACCCAAGGCTTCACTCCGAAGATGCGCTGTAAAAAACTAGTACCTCCGAGGTACTAGTTTCTGGAAAACGCGGGGCAAGGGCGGGCGTCAGATCACATTTCCAGTGTTAGCTCGTGGCATCTGGCGCCCGCCCATGTCCCGTCGCGAAAAGTTTTTTTTTGTCAAGTCTCCACGAGTTCGCACAAGCACCCAACAGCGCATGCGAACACTTGGGTTAAAAAAAAACACAACACAACCCCGCGGCGCCGCTTCTTTGCCGTGCCGCAGGAGTGAGGTATGATCGGCACCTCCCCCCAACCACAGGACGTCGGTGGGACATCGGGTGGGAGGTTTGATCCGACTGCCGCATGGTAGTTTGCTCCGGGGCAAACAGCCACACCACCCCCGCAATATCCGGCCCGTGTGACCAGGGCCAAAGTAGGCCAGCTTTCTTTAACTATAATCTTATGCTATGTTTGCGGTTTAAGAAGCTAAAGTGTAGGCAGGGGGGAACATGGGGGTGGGGGGAAGAAGCACCTGGGCAAGCCTTTAACGTTATTTGTTGAAAAAAATTTCAGGTTGGTTTCCCTGTAATCAAAGTTGTTAAACAGCATTGTACTAATCAAATGAACTTTTAAAAAAATCATAGTGTAGCCACATGCTGTTTTAACCAAATACCTGATGGAAAGTTTTACGTTGTTTGCAAAAAAGTTTTAACCCAAAAGCAAGCTTATGACAGTTAAAACAAATATTTTAATCCAAAAGGAAGTAATCTAATCATGTGAGAATATGTATTGATTTATTTAGAATAGTCATATATCCACTTTCTTCTGAGCATTGCAAGCCCCCAGGCAGATACCACTTGCTTTTTCCATGCCACTTTCCTGATCTAAACAGTCCCCAGAGTTGCTATTAGCCCATAATATATTTATGTTCCTAAATTGTGCTTGTATTTGTTTATGCTTCAGGCTAGTAAGAGTCTTGGAGTGCTATTTTGAAGTGGTTTTTTTTAAGCGTTAGGAGTTCTGATCTCAGATTTAATCTGTTATTTGTACTTTTATATTATTCTTTTAGTTAGTACAAGCCAAGAAGGTTCTTAAGATGCAATGGAATGTGTTGTTGATTCAAACAATTCATTCCCACAGCAGAAGTCCCTGATTTGTACCATAATAGTATCATATATCACCTGAACCTGATCTCAAGCTTTATTTGGGCTGTAAATTGCTGGATAGGGATTTGGGGCTGCGGTCACACGGAGCATTTGCCGCGCTGACGATACGGATGGTAGGCGGATTTTCCAGGCGCGATCACACCGCAACATCTGGGAAGTGTAGAGCTCCCGTGGCTAACCTGAGGCTTCCCGCCGAAGATGCGGAGTAAAAAACTAGTACCTCCGAGGTACTAGTTTCCAGAAACCGTGGGGCAAGGGCGGGCGCCTGATCGTGTTTCCGCTGGAATCCTGTGGCATCTGTCGCCCGCCGCTGTTCATTGCAAACAAGGGGTTTTTTTCCTCCCAAGTCTCCAAAAGCACCCAACAGCGCATGCGCACAAAGAGCGATCGCTAGTGTGATCACGCGGCATGGCTTCTTTGAGTTCGAGAGAGGGCCACGGGAGACTGCGATGGGGGAGAGCGGCAGAGGCCAGGCTCAGAGTGGGCCGCATGTCCCAGGGAGGGAGGGCTGCTGGTGGGGAGGGGGGATCTGGCGGGTTAATCTCCCCCTCCCCTCCTTGCAAGTGGAACACGGACCCTGCCCGGAGTGGGTCACGCGAGACCCTCCCAGAGGCCGCGGCTCTTTCCTTTCCCTTTCTCATCGGCCCGGCTGCTCTCGGTGGAGGTGCCGGATACTCATGTGATCGGGACCTCGACCGGGACGTGTGATCGGGTGGCCATGAGTTATTTTCCTCTGAGGCAAACAGCCACGCTCCCCCCCCGCATTTTCCAGCCTGTGTGACCGCTGCCTGAGTTCCTCTAAGGGAAGGCTTTTCTCACACTTTCAGTTACCAACATTGATGTGGAGAGCACAGTGTAATGTTGCCTGCATTGTCGGCTTTCCTTATTATTGTCATCCAAGTAGGCCAGCTACCCTGAAGGTGTAGAAGCCAAAAATGAGAGATCACGGGAGGAAGTGGAAATCCAAACACAACATCTGTCAATAACAATATGTTTGCAAAATCAATTACTGTAGTAATTCTGTAGAAAATTCTCTTCTATTATCGCTCACACGCAGGTGTAGGCTTGCTAGCATTTAACTTTCTTCTCTGAGGGAATTTGAATGTTTAAAGGGAAGAGCTTAGTAAGAATTCATATGCTGCAGGGCCAGTTCAGTGCCAGCAGCCCTGTCCGATTGCTCGCAGCCGAGCTCCTGGGATTCTGTCAGATGAGCCCATACTACTTGTGAAGTTGCATGTATCATGGCAACTGCATGTACAGCCCCCTCATGGAGGTATGCCTATCCATACAGTCAGGATCTCTGTGTCATCCAGGCTGGGCTCAAGACTCTCTGGTGGGCCCATGCACTCCCACAGTTCAGGGTCCCCATGCAATCCACAGCTACAGTAGTATCTGTTGACTGTGGGACACATGAACCGAGGAGGATTTTGATCTTAATGACAAATCATCTGACGTTGGCAGTTTTTAAATTCCTTTATCTAGAAATATCTGTGCATCTTTGATTTCTAATTCTTACCTAGTTTACAGACTGAAGAAAGCCCATACAGTTGGAATGGGAACCACTGTGTCACTTGATTGAATAAAGAAACTGGAAATCGGCACAATCTTAATGAATTCAGTCGTTTTTGTCTTGCTGGCAAAAAAAGCAACCTTTTGTAGCATTCATTTTCATTTAGAATTTTGCAAGGCTTTGGTAAAAGTTATATTCTCAACTGTTACTTCAGATCAAGCCACATTCCAGATCTTTAGATTCAGGTGGGTAGTCATGTTGGCCTGAAGTAATAGAACGAAGTTTGAGTCCAGTGGCACTTTTGGAAAGAAAAGCATAAGCCCAGAATTAAATTAAAAGTAATTTAAATTAAAAGTATAAACCCAGAATTAAACTTTGTTGGTCTTAAAGGTGCTACTGGACTCAAACTTTGCAGATCTTTATGACAGTGAAGAACTGGAGTGTAATTTAACTCTCCCCCCCCCCCCCTTTGCAATGTTTGATTTTTTTTTACCCCCCATATTCTGTTAACCGTGGAAGACTGGGAGTTATTCTGAAACAAAGGGTTTAAAAATGATTATATATTCTTCATTAATGAAGTTTATTAACATGTCGATCATTTAGAACAATTTGAATAAGTAGTAAAATCACTGCTTCTAAGATGGGATTGGGTAGTTTTAAAAAAAGAAACGTGAGAACAAAAAAGAGCAGAGTTTTCAAATATTTAGATGCTCATGAACTTAAAAGCTCATGGCTCGTACTAACATCTTTCACCCACAGTTATGCAGTGTATATGCAAATATTTATAGATGCAATATGCTTTCTATGAAACATCTAATTTATATTGCGTTTCCCTCCACACTTATTGGGAGTCCAACAGAACTTTTCTTTTGCTTCAAAGTTGTCATAATTCTCTTCTATTAACAGCATTGAAATAGCTTCTTTTATATCTGAATAAAACTTTCAAATACTTCAGCAGTTTTATTTTGCAAATGTGAAGAAAACAACCTGTTCCAGATGTCTTTTCATCTCCAGTGTATACGCAGCAGGGATGTACCGAAGCCATTCAAATGTTATCATAAATTAAAAATACAATTGAAGTACAAAATGTAAAATACATCGATCTGTTAAGAATATGAGAGGTGGGGGTGATCTGGCATGGGAACCGCTTTTCCTCTTTAAACACAAAGGTTAACTGGTTGGCTTCTCTCCTTTTTAGATTAGTCTGTTGATGAACGGTAGACCTGTTGCCACTGATGTTTTGTGGTTCTTGTGTTCTCTTTTGAGTCCACGTTCAGTGGAGAAAAGCAGGTTAAAAGTATCCAAATAAACTGTCAAACGTGTTCTAGCCCCTGGATGTACCAAAGTCCTGTGTATTACACATAAGTTTATCATTAACTATATGTTAATTATCAACATGTGTTAAAATAAATACAGAGAAAGGTCTTCTGGATAGGAATTTAGTAATATAGGAAATAACATTTACTGTAAGGCTGGCAAGGCTTTAACTTTTGTGGTTTTGTGTTTGCCTATTTGCCGAGCATGTGCTTTCCGTTTATTAGGTAGAAGTCCTTCATCCTCAGCCTGGTTGGGTTGAACTGGACCCTGAAAGTCTGTGGACACAGTTTGTTGATGTGGTAAAAGAGGCAGTTCAAGGTAACCATATGACTAAACTCTTTTAATCTTATGCATAAGGTCCTGGCAGAGGCACATTTTTGTACCTTTCCCTCCTCAGCACTCCTCCTACTGTGAACCCCCCCCCAAAGTGATGCCTGGGGTTGGGGAATTCATTTGAACAAAAGGTCATGTATGTTTATTTGCCCTATATGGTCAGGGGCCTGCCTACTTGAGGGATCACTTTTCCCCACATGTGCCCCAGAGAGCACTGAGGTCAGGGAATCGCCTGACTCTCCCCGGCTCCAGAGGCACCAGGTTGGCCACTACTAGAGCCAGGGCCTTTTCAGTGGTGGCTCCACACTGATGGAATGAGCTCCCGGATAACATCAGGGCCCTGCGGGACCTTTTACAGTTCCGCAGGGCCTGTAAAACGGAGCTCTTCCACCAGGCCTTCGATTAGGAGCCGCCACTGATGAATGTGCCACCCGAACACACTATGGCCTGTATGAAACACGAGTGGATATTGCCTCCCTCTATGGGATTGTATATTGAAGCCGCCATCATCTGCATTGCTCTTGTCAGAATTTTATGATGTTAGGTAGTTGTTTATGTATATTTTATTGTATTTACTGTTTTATTGCTTTTAATGTTTGTTTGCCGCCTTGAGCTGGTTCTCTGGCAAGGCTGGATACAAATTGAAAATAATAAATAAATAAATATTTATTTATTTATTTATTATTCAGATTTTTACCCCGCCCTCCCAGCCGAAGCTGGCTCAGGGCAGCTGACATAAAAACAGGTAATTATATTAAAAACATAAGTTGCAATTAAAACAAACTATAAAATCATACTAAAGTGCTAGTAGTTGTTGGTATTCATGACGGTAGCAGCCAATAACCAATGTTCAAAGTTCTCATCTCACAGTCAGCTCTTAGTGTTCAGTTGGAATGTCGTTGCAGGGCTTGCTGTTCTTTAGGCTGTTGATGGCAATTTCCAGAGTCCAGGGCCCTCTCACTTTCAGCCAACTGATGTTCTTCACTGGTGGTGGTGGTGGTGGCTTCCAAAAGCCTGGTGGAAGAGCTCTGTTTTACAGGCCCTGCGGAACTGTAAAAGGTCCCGCAGGGCCCTGATCTCCTCCAGGAGTTCATTCCACCAGGAAGGGGCTGCCACCGAAAAGGCCCCGGCCCTGGTCGTTGACAGCCTAGCCTCCTTAAGACCTGGAAGGGCCAGCTGATTCTGGGCCCCTGACCACAGTGCTCTCTGGGGAACATGTGGGGAAAGGCGGTCCCTTAGGTATGTAGGTCCCTGACCATGTTACATGGTTAGTTGCAGGGGGAAGGGGGCAAGACCACCATTCTCTGCTTCTTATGACAGTGCTTCCTGAGTGCCAAATAATCATGACTATTTTATGCCAGACTCAGAGCTCTATGAAACATGCTTGTCAGCCTGTATGCAAAAAAATATGCTGTATCGGGTGAATAAAAGGAGAATCCATAAAGGGGCTTCTTTCAGCCGAAGTCACTATCAAATTATAGTGTTAGACGTTCTTTGTTTCAGTATTGCAACAAGTCCTCTAGAATCCCCAGCTAGTAAAAGAACTAAGAACCTATTAGGATTTTGTATAGCAATGTATTGGTTATACAAAGAGAACCTTTTGTGGCGACTGTGGACAAAAACACTACTTCCTGTTATGCCAGTTCAGGACATAATATTAATAACCTTTTTGAAGGTACTCAAAGCAACTGTTGACAACTAGGTATTTCTGCAATGCTTAGTTACTATTGGTTCTCTGTTTCTTCAGTTCTCAGTGAAAGACTACTAAAATACTCCTCAAGTTTGCAATCCTAAGCACATTGATAGGTAAACTACTCGTTGTGAAACTTTATTTTTTAAATGAAAAGCAATCTTTGGAGACAATTATTTTGGTGGGGCTAGAGAGGGGAAGGAACCCTTTCTCAGTTGCCACCTGTCTGCTAAAGTGCCTTTCCTGCTGCACTAACATGCACGAAATTCTCTGTGACTACGAATGAACAAATGGTTTGTGGTATTACATTTGTTCTGTAATGCTTGCTGCTTACTGTTCCTTTATTTTATATTCTAGCTACAGGAATTAAAATGAATCAAATTTCTGCACTAGGACTTGCAACACATCGTGCAACTTTCCTTACGTGGAACAGGTATGTAAGGGGCACACTGCTTCTGACAGACTCCTGTTGCTGCTGCATTTTGTCTATAAATATAGATATGATCAAATAGGATAACCTGAAGTAGGGCTGACTATATTATAGGTCAAAAAGTACATGGTTGACTGAGTTGTCAAATAATGGTTAATCATTTTAGTTGAGTAGAAATGTACCCCCCCCAAACTTTGTTAATGACAAAGTCAGAAACTGTTACGAAGCAGTGTAGTTGAACTCAAAATGAGTATAATTAATTATTTATAGCTAATAAAGTTAAAGAATCATAAATCTATGTCAGTGTTGTTCAAGACATCCAGCATCTCTTCTTGGCTCTTATTTGGAACCCCCTTGGGTAGTAGCATACAAAGTTACAAAATGCTGTTTAATGAAACTAAATGGAAATGGCAGCTATAAAAGACAAGCTTTCAGTGCAGTTATGGTTAGAGGCAGGAGGTAATGGCTTCTTAATGAAGTGTGTATGTGTAGCATTAGTTCTGCAGGGACTCCTACTTACTTGCGTGTTGCCAAATGACCCACCTGTTAAAATGCTGTTTTACAATATTGACTGCCTCCTACATGAAGTCATTAGCCATGTTTATTTGCTGCTCTGTGATCCTATATGTGGATGTATAAGGTCACAAATTTAAGGGTCAGAAAATTTTAGGTGACCAAATAGATCTGCTGCCTTTCTCAAAACCCAAATCGAGCCCTGGATGAGGTTTGTGTATGCATACTTTCCTTGTGATGCTGGGGAGTATACGAGCTAACAAATACATGTATACCGGCACTAGTCCTTGGTCCACGTTGAAGGCATTGTCTTAACTAAGGGGAGAATTGCATCAGCAACTCAAGGGGCTTCTAGATGGCTGGAACTCTTCAGTTCCATGTAGCTGCTGTGTGAAGGGACTCTTGAGGAGGCCCAGTGGCACATTCTGAAAATTTCAGATGTTTCACTGGCCTTCTCTGGGTTTATGCCATCACTACCTGAACTCAAAAAGATGGTGAAAGATAAAGAACAAGAAAGAACTCCTGGCTCTCTCATCTTTGCCTCCCCTTCTTCAGGTCAAATTCTTCAAGTCCCTACTTGTGTTCCATAAGATCTAATATTATTAAATAATAGGCAGACCATTGACCAAAGTGTGAGAAAAAGTAATGGGAAATATATTCATGCATGTGAACTTACTTTTGACTATGCATTATTTAAATGGTTTAGCTTTAGCATATTGGGTTGGATCCTGTGATCCTTCAGTGGAAGGAAGACACTGACAGTTGTGAATTTTCCCATGTCCCTGCCCAACAGTCCTTTCTGACACTGGGAAAATGTATTCCTGGGATTGTGAGTTCCATGTAGTTTAATAGCTGAGTCAGGAGGCTGCAGTGGGGACAGGAAGTGGATGAAATCTCTGTTACTTCCAGCAGTGCAGCTCTATTTTGCCTCCTTCACCCTTTCCACCCCAGTTTCCTGGCCCACGTGGATGTTAAACCACATGGGTCTTGCAGTCCCAGGAATAAACTTTTCCAGAGGCACGTAGGAGATCTGTGGAATGAGGAGATCTGTGATCCATGTGTATGAATGGGACCAAACTCATTTAGTAGTCAAAGAACAGTATATGAATAAAATACAGGAATATTATGGCTTGAATCATAAGCTTTGCTTCTCGTCATGATGCATCCTTTTGCACAGCAGAAGAGATCCTTTGCTGTGCAGTACATTCTCCTGGTGCTGGGAACTTCTATTTGTGAAAGATCAGTTAGAAAGCACAGTGCAGTGGAGGACTGCCTCCACAATAGACCAAGAGGGGTGCAAATGAAAGTGAGGCTTAGGATCCTATATATTCCTGGGTGCCCAGAGAGGCTGGCCTTTCTGGCCTCCCTTATGTAAACGCTTCTCTTCCTCCAGTTTACTGGCTGTAGCTTAGTCTTTAAGGTGACACAATTTCTTTTTTTGTGGGAGGGGTTGGCTGTAGCAGGCTAACACACCCTTGAATAGTCTGTATGTAAATTTTTCTTCTGTGTTGCAAATCTTAGACTCCCACCAACAGGAGTGGTTCTGGTTAATGTAGACAACTTGAGTTTTCTGCTCTAATAATATTTTCTCTTTTTGCATCTGAAGAAATGAACTCTGACTCATAAAAGCTTATGCCACAATGACTGTTGCTAGTCTTTATGGTGCTACTGTACTTCTGTTTAATTTCACTGCAACAGACTAAAAATGGCTGTACGTCTGCAATTCATTTGTTTTGTTGATTGCTCCTGTCTAGCATTGCTTAAGATGAATTAGTGAGCTATTTGGTTCCAACACTGGTAAGACATTTCCCAATTAACATCACGTTCCCAAAAGTAGTGCCTGCTACACCTACTTATCCCAGAGAAAAGTCACCCTTTGATTACATCAATCTAATTTAAAGCAGGAAACATCTCTTTGGAGCTCAGTGGATGAGCTTCTATTCTTGGTCCCCTTTTTTCCCCAAACCCCAGTGTTCAAAATGGCTTGTGTAGTTTCCAAAAGATGTGATAGTTGTCTTAGAATTAAGATAAATAATCCCTACTACCTAATGTGCTGATGTAGAATTAGAACCTGCCTACATTCTCAAATTTAGAAGGAAGAAAGGTTGAACTAGTTCATTTTCTTTCACCTGCATATGTTGACCCCCTTTCCTTTATCTTGAATAAACTAAACTGAAATTTGTGTTAATTGGTGAATATGCACCACAGAAAGCTCTCTCATGTTCTAGACCAAATCGTTTATTTGTGTTACTCAGATTGCAAAGGGAATAAATTGGGGGGTCAAAAAGAATCCAGCCAGACTTACCAGCTCATTTCTACAGTTGTTTGAGAAATTAGCACTTAAAACATTTGTTTTATGAAATTCTGAAGTAAGAAAATAGGCATATTGTTTTCTAATTTAAGTCTCCTAGCTCTTAATGTATATTTGTGAAGGGTTGGGGTAAGCATGTGAACTGCGGGTCTCTGGAACAAAATACAAACTTAGCTGTGACCTCGATAGCGACATCTTAGCCAAGCCAACATCTTAGCCTCAGCCTTACCCCAAATTCTACCTGTGTAATATGGATATATGTATATACAAGTGGAGACCCGCAACAAAATGTTGCGTACTGTGTTCTAGTTTATTTTAACTTGTAATTGCGGTGTAGGATTTGTTGTCACTAAATGTATACATGCCTTGTGGTGACACCCATTCATCACAGAACACGGAACTGTCCTGTGGCTTGTAACCACTTCTCATTGGGCGCGCCGCCTTCGGAGTTAGGTGGGGGGCCGGGTCGTCGCTCGTCCCGCGAGCAATCAGGCCCGTGTTCGCCGTCCAGGGCCAGGCCTGCAAAGTCTTCCTCGGCCAGCTGTCTCTCCCAGCTTTTCATCCTGTCCTCACTTCGTTTATCCCGCTCTGGGCCCGGCTGAAGTCCCACCGCCGTGGGGGAGGAGGACAGGTAGACGGAGCCATTCAACCGGGCGTCGGAGGGATAAAGGGAACCTCCAGATTCAGAGGCAAAGAGCCTCTAAATACCAGTGCTAGGAGGCAACATCAAGGGAAGGCCTCAGCCTCTATGCCCTGTAGTTGGCCAGAGTAACTGGTTGGACAGTATGTGAGACACGATGCTGGACTAGGTGGACCACTGTTGGTCTGATCCAGCAAGACCGTTCTTATGTTATTCTGTAGATGTGGGCAGCCATAGTAGCATTACTCCTTCTTATGCCACTGGGTATAACTTGAAATCCTGGACCGCTTCTGCAAAAGTTGTTCCGCCCTCAATCTCCCATTTCCCCCAGCTGTACTGCTGAAATCCCCAACATTTGCTGCATGGCTGCATTTTGACCTGCATCTCCCTCCGATTCCCCCCGTCCGGCTCCGAAGCAGTGGCGCATGCGCAGGGAACGCTCTGTCACTTTTGGGGGGATTTAACTATCCCCCCGATATTTTTTCAACTTTTTAGATTTTTGTGCACACCTGGGGACCGCCCCAAGTGTGCACGAAAATCTCCCTCCCCCCCAGGTGCCCCCAATGTGCGGAAATAAATATCCGCACACAGGGGGAGCCTTCGGTATTAGATATATAGATGTATATTGGCATCCTTAGTGACATGTCTGTTAAGTGCTTAGAAAATCATCTATGTTTTGCTTTTTCAGGGAAACAGGGAAACCTTTTCATAATTTCATAAGTTGGCAAGATCGGAGGGCTGCTGACCTTGTAAAATCCTGGAACAGATCTTTCTTAATGAAGGTGAGGTTATACTCATGCATTTACTAACATTAAGAAAGGATAGGTATAAGAAGATATGTGAAAGGTAAACTGGTCACAAATCACCGAGAGGAAAATTGCTGGCTGCTTTTGCAAAACATCCCAATCAGCACACACACCCCACACACAGATGTATGATTAATTAAATGGGGCTATTGCATTTTCAGTCTCTCTTCCCAGTGCTTCATATTCTCCCCCCCCCTCTTGTTCATATTGAAGGCTGTTTCCTCAGCATTCTCTATGACTTTCTTTCCTTGAACTCTGCTGTGGGCCCCTGTAGATGCAATTCCCACACCAGAAGATAAATATATACAGGGTGCCTTCCAACAGCTCTACTCTCCTAATACTGGTCAATTAACAACAGCCAGGCCAACAACAAAAACTTCTTTCAAGGGAAGAATTGGGCAGAAGAAAGGACACTGGGCAAACCAGAAGTAGATTTTTTTCCTGGAGTGGAAGATCAGCAGCTATTACTGCAGATAAGTTCCTGGGCTGGTCACATGTTCAAAGGACTTTGTTCTTTAATTCTAAATGTGTATGGTTTAGAAGGGAACTGTGAAAAGAAAGATTCTTTGAATAACCTTTCCTGGAAAACCAGAGAATGGATTTGGTGTAATTACCTTCATTTTTTGCTCCTTAATTTTGGATGCATAGTGAAGGGACAGTCCATAGTTATAATATTCTGGAGGAAAAGCATTCTGGTAACCATTCATTATGCTGTATGCTAACCCTCTACCTATATGTAGGGACTGGTAATTTCCATTTCATTGTCTCTGAAGAAGTGTGTGTGTGTGTGCACATGAAAGATTACACCTTGAATAAAACTTTGTTGATCTTAAAGGTGCCACTGGACTTAAACTTTGTTTTGTCTTTAGAAAAGGTACTCTGCAGCAGATGCTTGCCTTCTTTTATTCATGTTTCTCTGCCTCAATTTTCCTTCCCTAGATCAGTCTCTACCTCTAGTTCTGGCCCAGGAATGTCCTTATGTAACACTCCTTATGCTTATCTCCCACTCTTAATTATCTCTCCTTCCCCTACCCCTTCCATTTTGCAGTTCTCCCATCTCTTACTTTTCAGCTATGTTTTTGTGAGGGGGAGTATACTTTGTTTGTTGTTTTTCATTCTCTTCCATTTTATCAACCTCGCCAATCTTGATTGCTGACCAAAGGTAGACGAAAAAAAGTTTGCCTTCCCATCCTTTAAGATCATCTGCATGTAGAAGAAAAACGTAACAAATCCTAGAAATCTTCAATAAAATGTTCGTGTTGTCTTTAGTCTTTGATAGCAAGCTTTGTTAGTTTTTGTTTTAACTTAAAATTGCAATGACATGCAACTATTATTTGGAAGGTTGCTTACATCAACAGGATCTGTAGCAAATCAGTGAGACTCACTTCTAAGTAATTATGCATAGAATCAGGCCGTTAAACTAGTTTTCTTAGTGGAGCAACAATGCTAAGAATGTGCTACATATTTGCCTGATTCAGTTGCAAGATGTGTCTTTCTGAGCCTCTGTGTTCTCCAGCTGTAAAATGGGACTTCATACCAAAGAATACTGACTCAAGGTGCCTTAAATTGCAAATACAATACAAAATACAAACACAAGAATTCTGCTATGAATTAAATGGCTGGCCTTGGCCTTTTTTATGGTGTCATTTTTAATTGAAAGCTACCTCAAGCAAGATTCTGAAGAGGTGACATAGAAATATGTTAATTCAATGGATAAACATAACTGTTTAGAAGAAGAAGTTGGATTTATACCCCGCCCTTCACTACCCAAAGGTGTCTCAGAGCGGCTTACAAACTCCTTTCCCTTCCCCTCCCCACAACAGACACCCTGTGAGGTAGGTGGGGCTGAGAGAGCTCTGACAGAAACTGCTCTTTTTTCAAGAACAGCTCTTATCAGAACTACGGCTTGCCCAAGGTTGTCCAGCCAGGTGCAAGTGGAGGAGTGGGGAATCAAACCCGGTTCTCCCAGATTAGAGTCCGCACACTTAACCACTACACCAAACAATAACCAGTGTTTTGAATTTTGCTAGGAAGCAGATGAGTAGCCAGTGTTTTGTTATTGTTTGTTTGTGTGTGTGTGTTTTTTTTTTTAAGGAACATGAGAGACCCACTCTCCTTTCTGCTATCCCAGGCAGGACTTGCCGTATGCACAATTTTTGTTTTAAACAAAGGCTTCCTTGAATGCTGTGTTTTCCTTGAGTCCACGTGTTCTCATCACATAAACCATGTATTTGGGTAATTTTTAAGTGATCTTTTTGACTAGAGCACTGCAGAAGACTGCCAAATATTTATACAAAATAATCTTTGTTTGGAACAGGCAGTTCATGGCTTCTCTTCACTGCTGCACTTTTTCACTCGGATTGAGTTGTTTTTGATAGCAAGTAGACTTACCTTCACAACTCAACACATCCCTTTAAGGTTGGCCTGGGTTCTACAACATATGCCTGAGGTAAGCACGCCTGTTGTCCTGCTGTTCTCTATGCTGAATGCTGTGTTGACTCTCCTCTGCTGCCAGACAGAGGTAGCCAGGGCAGAGAAAGGCCAGCTACTCAGCCCTGCCCTTCTCTGTGCAAGAGCTTGTGCCTTGGAGGAAGGACTGTGACTGACCCGAACCATGCCATGAAAGATTGCTAGTATGGGTTATTATACTGTTACATTGGTGTAGAGTGACTTCCACTGTAAGCTGCCTTGGGTTTCACTTTGTGGGAGAAAGGCAGTGTGAAAGCATTTAAAACTAAGAAGAAGAGAAGAGATTGGATTTATACCCCACCCTTCACTATCCAAAGGTGTCTCAAAGCGGCTTACAAACTCCCTTCCCTTCCCCTCCCCACAACAGACACCCTGTGAGCAATGTTCCCTCTAAGCTGTTGAGTCTTGTGAGCAAAAATTCCACTTTGTGAGCTACCGGCATTAAAGTTGTGAGCCAGCGATTTGGCTGCTGCATCAATTAGTTTGCTCTGGAGCCCTCCTTCCTGAGCGAAGGCAAAAATCTGTGAGCCGGAGGCTAAAAAACTGTGAGCCAGCTCACAGTAACTCAGCTTAGAGGGAACACTGCCTGTGAGGTAGGTGGGGCTGAGAGAGCTCTGACAGAAACTGCTCTTTTTTCAAGAACAGCTCTCATCAGAACTATGGCTTGCCCAAGGTCATCCAGCCAGGTGCAAGTGGAGGAGTGGGGAATCAAACCCGGTTCTCCCAGATTAGATTTCGCGCACTTAACCACTACACCAACTAAGAAAGGATCCTTGATAGGTGTAGAAGTTTAATGGTTATTATTCAGATATGAATTTTAAAATGTGTCAAATGGGTCATGTAATTGGCACTGAAGAACTGTGTTTTGTCCTATCTAGCCTGCCAAAGTAATTGTTACGTTGGGTGTGCAGTGTGCTGAACTCATTCTCCAGGCCAAGAAAAGATTATGGGAATGAGCAATGAAAATAACCTGAGAAGCAGTTGTTGTATCTTTTAGCTGGATAATCTCAGGTTGGACTTGTGGTAGCAGTGGAAGCCTCAACTACTTTTTGCCCACCCCCCTACACCTTGGTATAATTGCCATGTGGTTGTGAGTCCAGAAATGGACCACATCATTAGCCCTAATAAACCCATCCTCCCCCTCTGATTAGGATTGCTCAGTAAACCATTCTTGAGCTTCTGTAGGAGAACTTTTAGAAATCCCTTTCTTAGCTACAGTAGCAATTCAGTTTGGTGTTTGAGATAAAAATGGCAGCTAATTTAATTTTTGATGCAGGTTACATACTTAACCATCTCACAATAAAATGTGGTCTGTTTATTTTCAGGTGGAACAAGCTATAAAAGATGATAATTGCTGTTTTGGGACAGTTGACACGTGGCTATTGTATAAACTCACCAAAGGTAAGAATGGTAACCAACAGAAAACACACACAGAGAGAGGAGAGAAAAACTGCATGTCAAATTTGCCTAAATCATAGTTTAAAAAACTGAGAACTGTAATTTCATGCCATTGCCAATTCTTCCTGAATTTTTCTATTTTAAAATACTATAAGCTTGCCTCGCTGAGGCCCATTACGCACATGCATCTTACTGCAGATTTTCAGAGCAGTAAACCTTTAATCTTGACTTTGAATTCTGTGCCTGCCTTACACACCATTCTTTTTCCTATGGTATAGTCACTCTGCCGCTACAATTTTAAAAATGCACTTTTTAAAATCAGAGTAGAAAGTCACTTCTGACATGTGGGGTGTGGTGTCCAAAGTTTTTAAAGAACATTTACGCAATTGCCCTTTTGGCAGCTGCACAGTAGTGTCCAGCAAGCGCCTTCCATTTAAATCCTTGTGGTTCCAGTTTTGTGCATGCATTTTAGTGTTAGTTCATTTAGTGAAAGGGAACAGAAAGGAATGCAGGCAAAAGAAAGAAAGCTGATGTTGAGATTGACAACCTTTTTCTGAAACTGACAAGCAGCTGAGAAATTTTCCATATTGCTGAGTACTAGGGGATTCTCTGCTGTGTTATCAGCCACTGTGAAAAATGGGAAAGAATCACATGATCTCATAATATGGGAAACATGTTGATTGGACAAAATGCACAGTAGAAGCCACTGACACTGGCATTGCAAGCTGTGATCGTTGGCAACATGTGTGTGTGTGTTTGGGCCTGTGCAAAGTTGGCTGCAACTCCACCACACTTTGCACAGGGCTGCAATTTGTATGGGGGAGGAGTCCTCTGGCAGAAGCTCTGGAGAGGTTTTTAGTCTTGTGCCACTAAATTTAAAAAAATGGGGGGTATGCTAATGTTAATTTCCTGCCTTTCCAATTTGCATGGCTTTTTCTTTGTGATTTTCTAATTTGATCCTACATACTGGTCCTGATCTTGGCAGTTTTTAAAAGCCTGTCCTGTATGGATTGCACTCTTCCTGCAAATGGGTTGATCCCAAGCAATTATTAGGTTCATCAGATTGCAGAAGGTCCATGTGGCTCAGCTGTCATTTTAACATTAGGCTTTCAGAGACTGCCAAAATGGTTCCCACCAGTCTTTGTTCATTAAAGGGGAAAATGGTTTCTCTCTTTACATTTCATGTCAGTTTCATTCAGCGCTGCTGATTCGCCCCCCCCCCATTTTGTTTTCATGCAGCACTGAAATCCTTTTTTTTTTTTGCGCTGGGGACACTGCTGTTTGCCTCCTCTCTGATCCCTCTTTCAAGTCAGTACCAGCAGAGAACTAAACCATGTGCAGCTCCTTTTAAACTTTCCCCCGTTGTTTTAATTCTTTTTATTCAGCGATCCAAGACTAGCAATAATCTCATATCGCTAGACTCATGCTGCTTGTAAAAATAAAATTTAAAACAATGAGGGGGAAATGGAGCTTGTGCACAGATGAAGGGGGAGGATGGCGGAAGGTGCAGAGTGGACAGAACGACCTTGGTGTGGGCGGGGGAGTGACATTCGAGGGGCAACCAAGGGGTGGGGAAATCCGAGGAAATCTGTGCACTTTCAAATTACCATTGGCTTGGAAGTGAAACAAGGGAAAAATCGGCACAGAAGCACTCTCAGAAAACCCAGGGAAACAGCAATCAGAAAGTGAACTGAGCTCTGAAGGAAGAAAAATCAATGCAGAATGACAAAGAAAACCCGATGGACATGCACAGTGAAAGCGAGGGAAAATACCTGTGCATTGCGTAATAGGCCTTACTTGTATTTCCTTCTCCTTCATGCTTTGTTAGTTTTTAACTACTTCTGCCTTCTTACTGTCCTGTCAGTTTGACTTGGAGCCAGACTAGGTGTTGTGGTGGTAGTTATGTTGGTTTAGTCATGTATCTGTCCTGTTGGCATGTAGAGAGGAATAGGGGCCTAATACAAAAGAGTCAGGGAAGCTGAACTCCCTGCAGGCCACCATCCAAGGTTCTTCCAGCACTGCTCACTATCAGTGTTGGGGCTAGACTGAGGGAGGGAGGAGTTCAGATGCCACTTCTGATTTAAAATCACCTCTCCACTGCAATTTCATTCATAATATATGAGTATGTGGGATTAAACTATTATACTGTCATGTCTAGTTTAGCCCTCAGATTGTAGTTCTACGGGCAAAGAGGCAGTCCATCTCTAGAATTCAGCACACCCTTGTCAATAAGCAAATGGTTGATGGAAGCAAAGTAGTCGCTGTTGTAGTAGAAGAATGTTAACCTAATGTGCATCTTTCTACTGAAAGTTTACGAATTGTCTTCTAAGGAGAGTACTATGAATAAGCAGCCTGAATATTAGTGGAGAGGGGAGCTGGAATTGCTTCTTGCACAGATATACTGAGTAATATATAGAGCTCTGAAGTCGAGTCTACTGATTGTCAGTGAAATCTTCTTTTGCATTTTGGGGTATCCAGTCTTATTTGTTCTTTTCTATCCAGGTGCAGTGTATGCTACAGATTATTCAAGTGCAAGTTCCACAGCCTTTTTTGACCCATTTAAGGTATGTCTAGTTAACTATGCAAAGCTGTTCTGGTAATTACTCTGTATTGCTTTTTACCCCTTTTTATGCATGTGATTTCAGCTGCAGTGGAGTGTGATTCTTGGCAAGTTATTTTCCATACCAATATCAATTTTTCCTCCAGTGAAGGACACAAGGTAAGACTAAGGCCTAAGTCTAGTGAATGTGTGTGTAGTTTTCTTTGACAAAAAGCACAAATGTCGACGTTTCTATAAAAAACAATATGAGGAAAAAACCTTGCCCAAATCTGATTCAAAATAGAATATGTCTGTTTTTCACATCTGTGTATTTATCGAGGCAAGTATTTGAAAATGGGAGAGGGTGGGAAAATATCACTAATATTCTTGTACGTAGCAGCAGCCCTAATAGCCTAGCCTAGCCCGATCTTACCAGAGCTTGGCAGCCAAGCTAGGGTTGTCCATGGTCTGTACTTGGATGGCAGAGACCACCCAGGGAGTCGGGGGCTGCTGTGCAGTGGAAGACAGTTGCAAACCACCTCTGCTGGTCTCTTGCCTTGAAAACCTCAGGAAGGGGAACTTCGTGGAGCAGCCATGAGTAAAGTGTGGCTTTGACAGCACACTTTACCTTTAGGTTAATTGTTAAAACTGAGTTTCTACAGTTTTGTTAATTGCCTTGAGAAAAATAATTATTAAATTTCTGTTTGAAGCCACATGTTTGGATTGGTTGATGCTGAAATATTTGGAGAGCCTATTCCAGTAACAGCGTTGGTGAGTGAACACTTTTTCTCTTCTTTCTCACATCTTTTTAGAGAAATATTTAGGTCAGATTAGCTACAGAGCGAAACGTGTTAGTCTACATGTTAGAGTGGAATTTCAAGCTGCAGGTAAATTCACTTTCATTCTGTCCTGTCAGACTAAAACTATCTCTTCGGATATGTTGTCGAAGGCTTTTACGGCCGGAGTTCATTAGTTGCTGTAGAGTTTCAGGGATGTGTGGCCGTGGTCTTGGCATTGTAGAACTTGACGTTTCGCCAGTAACTGTGACTGGCATCATGAGAGGTATAAACACAGAAATATGGAATACTCTCTGTGTCAAGGTGAGAAGAAAATGGTAGGCAGGTAATTTATATCTACTCCAGAAGGTGGGGTAGGGCTGAGTCATTGTCTTGTAGGAGTTCTGTTTGGAGTTCTTCTGATTCCAGTGTGGAATGACAGCTATTTTTATTCAGGATTCTTGGTCCCCTGGAGCACGTCATGTTTGTTCTACACAATTTTCTTGAGCCCTTGTCCTGCCCTAGTTGCTGGATATTTATTCAAATACCGATTCCTGCGTTATTGCCCCAGACCGTGTATAAATATGTTTTTCTGACCAATTTCAAACTTGCCTTTTCATGGTTACTTATGTCTTAATATGTACACATTCATCCCCTAAATCAAAGAGAAAGCTCTGTAACTATCCTATAAAGTGTTCTGAATAAGCTTATTAATCGTAGCAAGATTTTTGCTTCTTTTTTGTCTACAGTTTGAAATACAGCTGGGCAGACAATCTTCTAGAGTCACATAGTTTTTTTCCTTAATGATATGTATCAATTTGATTGTAAACTAAAGGAGGGAACAGTAGCATTAAAAGGCTTTATTTATCGATTTAAAATATTTGTACACCACGTTTACTTTTGACTCAAGGTGGCTTAAGGTAATAATTAAATGTTACAGATTAAAATCAGCTCAAATTTTTAAAAAACCAAATCCATAGGTATACGTTGTAGCTAAAAACGCATAGCCAGAAGAGTACAGTAATAAAGTCTAATGGCCCTGTAGTTTGACTTTGCAGACTTAAACAACATAAGCAGGAGCTTGGGATGCCAACCTCCAGGTGGGTCCTGGGGATCCCCTGGAATTACAGCTCATCTCCAGACTACAGAGATTAGTTCCCCAGGAGAAAACTGATGCTTTGGAGGACGCAGTCTGTGGCATTGCACCCCAGAGAGGTCCCTGTGCTCCTCAGGGTCTATCCCCCCACTCTTCAGGAGTTTCCCAATGTAGAGCTGGCAGCCCTTATTCCCCACACCCTGTTACCCTTATCATCTTGCTAGTGAGAGGTGGGGCAATAGTGAGATCTGGCTATCAGTGTTTGTGTTTATGGAGACAGTCTCATTAAGACCCCTGGTTGAGTCAATAACCAGTCCAAATTGTAAAGAGGAATGGGTTTTGATAAGAAAAAAATAATAGTTTAGATAATTACACACAAATGTGGACCAATGGGAGGCCTTGGGGGGGTTGTCTCAGGTGAAGACAAAAGATTTCCTGGACCAATAAGAGGTGCAAGGGGGTGTGAAACCAGGAGGAGCAAAACCTAGGTGTGACCAATGAGGTTACAGAGGGGCAGAATCTGGATTCACAATAGCGTTGATGAGATTAGCCAGGTGCTGGATGGCTGGGCTGGGAGCGTTCAGGGGTTCCCAGGGAAAGGACAGAAGACTAGATATATCTTGATGGGATTTCTCAGTGGTAAAACAGTGTCACTTTGGGAACATGGTGATGAGTTCCCAGGTCTGGACAAAAGGAACTGGAGCTTCTTCTACATGCAAAGTAGAAGTTCAGGTTTGGTTCCTGATTGCATCTCTGGTGGTAAAAGGTTATGTGATTGTACATTTGAACTAATCAAAAGGAAGCAATACTTCTTGATGAACCACCTGATCTTGGGGTGTAGGAAAGGGGTAAAGAGGCAAGACTTGTCATTGTCAAAGAAATGTGAGAAGGGAAGATGAGATCAGATTGACAGGTATAGTGGTGGAGACTGAAAAGAAGTTACTCTGGGGCTACGCGGCAGGTCCATTGTATGGAGTATGCAGATGTTGGCAGGGTGGGGGAGGGGTAGTCACAGCTGTCAGAGCAAGACCTCATGTGCCTTTTTTTCAGGGTCACTGCCTAGGCATAATTAATGGCTTGCCAGTCCTGGCTTCCATCTTTGTGTTTACTTAGGTCACGTTGCCTGGTATTTGGATTCCTGGGGCACCCTTGTTGGGTCCACTGATGGTTGAAAAGACCCCTCCTGTTGGACAGGAGGTCGGCATACTTACATCCCCGTCAGTGGCCAGGGAAGACCTGACAACCCTAAGCAGGAGCTTTGCCCGCCATGCACAGAAGTGTTTTAGTTCTATTTTCTCAACAGATATGGCAAGAGTGCCAAAGTCCAGTTTTGAAATCTTCACTTTGTTGTTAACTGAATTCAATAAAGCTGCTTCCTCCACAACATAGTGACATTCAAGTACATGAACATGGCAAAATCTTGCCAATTAAAATTAAATTTAACCAACAAGTGCAACTAAAAAGTCTTAGAAATTTAGCACCAAATATAGTGGTGGATTCCGCACATCTGCAACTGGCATGAGTCTTAGAAAGTGATTTTTTGCTATCTCCCCTTCATCACTAAAGTCTCCTATGCTGTCTAAAACTGAAGGTGGAGGAGTTCCTTCAAGAACAGTGTGATATGCAACATGGGAGGCTGGAGCCAGAAGAGGGCACATTACCAAGCTGTTCTCTGACACATGCAAGGGATATGAGGGGTATTATCAGGGCCAAAGTTGTCACACCCTGAGGTGAGGCAACCGGCAGGGCCCACTGCTGCTCATTTGCATGCCCATCCCCCACCTGCCTGCCTGCAGGCACTCCATCATACATGTTCCTAGCCATCCACACTGCCCAGCATAGTCAGGGAAAAGGCATGCAGGCATCTGTGAACATTGGCAGTGAAAGGGCGCATGAGGGGGTAGGGGAAGGATACATAGGCATGTGGGTTGGTGGGTACAAAGGGTGGCATGAGTGAGGAAAGGGCCCCCTGGGCACTCTCTGCCCAAAGCCTCCCTAAAACTGGAACCGGCCCTGGTACAGTTCCTGCGAATGCTCCTGACTGCAGTCTCTGCACCTGATGTTGCTTCCAAGGTTGTTCCAGACTTTTTGCTGTTTGTTGTTTTTTCTTCCGAAAGAAAGGGATGAATATTCTAAGTTAACTAAGAAAATAGTCAGTTTTTTATTCTTCTAATGTCATCTCGGCCACTGGTCTTTACCAGAGAGTTTTCCATTCTACTTCTGTGTTACAGGTGGCAGATCAACAGGCAGCCATGTTTGGAGAATGTTGTTTTAATCCAGGTGATGTTAAGGTTACCATGGGGACTGGTTCATTCTGGGATATTAATACTGGAAGCAGAGTTCATGTATCTAAGACAGGTAAGCTTGTATATTTGCATACTGAGTTGGTCGTTGATAGAAATGATTATGGACACTTTCATTTCTAAAATCTTTCCCTTGTTATATAAGAAGGGTCAAAGGATAGATATGGGAATGTATGAGCATATACTATTTAGCCTGGGAACTAAGGATAATTCTGTTATCATGGGATTGGGAGTTAAGCTTCATGAGCAAAGACTACATATAAATCTTTTCTGCATTTGCCCTGCCGCTTTGGATTTTCTCAGTGTTCGAGTTGAGGCAATTTAAGTCCACAGCAAAACAGCACCCGGGGCAACAGCAGGCTGAAACCGAAGGGAGGTAATATGATGCAGAATGGGGGGGAAAGCCCAGAATAAAAAGAAGGTTGAATTCGATTTTAGTGCAAAATGGGGGGGGGGGCCTGGATGAAAAAGAAGGTTGATTCGAGGACTTCCGGTGGACGGGAACAGTGATGGTGGATGCTCTCCTCACAACGGAGGAGGGTGAATCGCACACCAGCGGCCTGGTGGGGTGCCACCTCAAGTGACACCCCCGCGGAGCCTTTGCGATAGGCTCCAGGTCAGGGGGCTTTTGAGGGGTAGCCTCTTCGATGGTGTAATGCCAGAGAATTGAGGCTCCCCTCTGCCCCGAAGGACCAGTCACTGAGTGGCCCTCGGGCACAAGCTGGACTGACCGGGACAAGCGCCAGAGATCGAGTAGAATGGCGTAAAATTGAGCGTGGTCAGATAAACTGGCCGACAATGAACCTGAGTTCAGAATAAAACGAAGCAATTTGAAAAGTGATCCCCCCCCGCGATCGAAAACAGAGATTGCAAAGAGGGACGCCTCTTTTGCGAAAGCGATAAATGGACACGAAGGGGGGGAGGGGAGGAAGTAAACCGAAAGTGTCTTGAGAGACTTATCTGAATCGCGAAGTCGTTGGGTGAGTTTTCCAAGTTTTGAGGGAGTGGTAGAAACTGTAAACAAAACGGGAAAGATGGCGGCCCAGCAAAGAAAGTTTAAGACGAAGCCGGGCAGGCAGAGTCCGAGGCCAGAAGAGGGAGCAGATGTCCTCAAACCCCTGGCGGATATGCTTAAGCCAGTGATGAAACAACTCGATGGTATTAACCAGCAGCTGACTGAGATGAATAAAAATTTTGCTGCACAGCAGCTCCAGCTGAACGAAACAGAGAAAAAAGTGGAGCAGGCAAACGAGAAAATTAAAGCGATAGACACCACAAGCAAGAAGTTGAAGAAAAGGATGGGAGAGGTGGAAATGAAGCAGAATTGCCAAGAGAATCGAGTTTTACAGCTACAGATGGAAAAAGCTAACATGGTTCTCAGGTTTCAGGGGGTTCCTGAAACAGATCGAGAAGACTTGAAGAAGGTGCTCAGTGAAATTATCGCTTCAGTAGTAGGCTTAACAGCGGATGAATTTATAAACGAAATGGAAGTAGCCTATAGGGCATACTCCAACTACATTAAAAAAAAAGCCTACCTGGAGAAGCTACCTCGGGAACGGAAGAGGACTCTGCGGCAGAAAAGGGTGCAGGACCTGCCAGAGTGGTATACAATTTTAGGGACAGAAAGCCGAAGTAAAGGCAGAAGGACTTGGAAAATGGCCTTTTGAAGCGAAGACTAAGAAGATGATCAGAGACTTCTCTCATAACAACTAATAAAATAACATATAAACAGCGAACTGTTATAAGCAAGAACTCTACAAGTATATTGTGATAATAACTCTAACATTACTAACATTTTAACTAACAGTGAAAAGATCTACTCTTGGGGTTTTAGTTTAGTGTGGTTTGCTTTCCTTTCTCCTTAGTTGTAGTCCCTTCCCTATTGTTTCTTTGTAGTTTTTGTAGTTTTGCAAAATAAAAAAAAATATCCCTCCGGGGATTTATAAAAAAAGAAGAAAAAAAGAAGGTTGATTCGATTTTAGTGCAGAATTGCTTGCAGGACACTGCGGTGAACATGGATTAAAAGGAGAGTGCAGAAAGGGCCATAGTCTTGGCCTGAAGCGAGGGGAAGGATGGATTGGGGGGGGGGTACTATGTCTTTATTTTTTAAACTTTGCACTCACATTCTTGTAAGTAAACATTTTTCAACATGCCTGTCTTGTACCCAAAAAGGAATAGTCAAAGCAACTGGGTTTCTTTTTATGAGGGAGATTATTTTGGGCAGCTGTGCAGCCTTGGAAGGGCAATATGGGACAATGTAGCTACTAAAATTTCTGTCAACAAATGTAATAAACTGCAAACCCGTGAAAAAACCTTTTCCTTCCACACTGGTCCCCACTCTCTCCCCTAAGCCCTTTCTCTTCTCCCCTCTTTCTGTACTGTCTCTCACCTCTTCCCCCTTTTTCCTCATATCTAGTTTTGCTCTTTCTATCCCCGACCCACCTGTTTCAACACTCCCTTACTATGATTTCTCTATTTTCTCTCCCCCATTTCCCACTCTCTCCCAGCCCTTTCTCTCTTTCTCCTTCCTCAAAATGCTGCTTTCCCAAAACCTCCAGTGATGCAGGGAGTGCCTAGGCCCAGATCCCAATGCCTTGGTTGCTAGGCAACCCATATTGCCAAATGTAATCTCATAAGATGTTGCAAGATCTCACTTGGTGTTCTCCATTGAGTTTGTTTTATTTTGAACTTCCCACAGTTGTTGTTTACTTTTGGGATTTTTCCATAAATGAATGAACATTTTCACTTCACTAAAGAACATCTTTGAAGGCCATTTAACAACTGATGCTTGTACTTTTAGGCTTATATCCATTGGTTGGATGGAAGATTGGGAAAGAGCTGACCTACTTAGCAGAAGGCAATGCTTCTGATACTGGGAATGCTATAAAATGGGCTCAGGACTTAGGTGAGTAGCTTTCTGAGCCTAAAAATAATGTAGGCTGTAAAATGCCATCTATGATTGTGTGATAAGCTTCCAGATTATAGGATATGCAATTTTTTTCTTTATCAGTTCATTCAAATTTTTTTTACATTTTTGAAGCTGAAGCCACTTGAAACATCAAATTGTGTTAAAAGCTTAAGACAAATATTAATTAATAAACTGTTCTTAATTACAAAACGTAAACTGAAAAAATAATGTGTAGTGTACACTTACTTGATATTCATTCGTTTTTGGTGGATGAAAAAATCTTTTTAGGTTTTCACTTGCTGACACTTTCTACCTTTGAACAGTTAGATTCAAGTCCAGTAGCACCTTAGAGACCAACAAGAGTTTCAGGGTATAAGCTTTCGAGACTCAAAACTCCCTTTGCCAGACATGAGTAGGAATGGAGATCTGAGTCTTTATCACAGTCAGAAGGTGGGAGGGGTGTTGTAAAGAATGCTTGTAAAGATGCAAAGGTACAATGTATATTGTAATCAGCTTGATTAGAGCAGAGGGGAAATGCTTGGGGGCAGAAAGGTAGCATCTGTAGTGGGATAATTTCTTCCTGTTCTAGCCATAATTCTAATTTATCTAGAAGGTGCCTTGTATATATTTTACTGATGATATTTAAAAGGCTTAAGGGCCTGTAGTTTGCTGGATCATTTTTGTTGCCTTTCTTAAAAACAGGAACTACTGTAGCAATCCCCCACTTCTTTGGAATCTGACCAGTTTGATCAACGTAGGTGAAAAAAGTTGCAAGAAATTGCGCCTACCAGTCTACATTCTCTTTTAGCACCTCAGGAGTTATTCCATATAATCCAGGGGCCTTTCTGTTTTTGAAGCGTGCTGTAACAGTGTTTCGTGCGCCTCGGCATCTAGTCATGCCGGCCACATGACCATGGAAACGTCTTTGGACAGCGCTGGCTCTTTGGCTTGGAAATGGAGATGAGCACTGCACCCTAGTTGCTAAAAAAAATCATTATATCCCAAACGGGAATTTAAATCCCCTGCCAGTAAAATTTGGGCTTCCAGGTGTTCAAGTGAAAGGTCTGTTATATAATTATCGAGTGCAGACCAATTTTCCTCAATAAGTGACTTATTCGCTAGGGGTGGGAGGTATGCATTTATAATAATCAAATTTCCCTTCTCCCATCTCACCAATAAAACCATAGCTAGCTGAGCCAAATGAGGTTTCAACACACAATGGACCTTAAGGGAAGTAGAGATGAAAATGCCCAACCCTCCCATTAGTCTTCCCGGGCCTTTTCCTGGAACAGCCTCTAAATTATAGGAATAAAAACCATCTAGTTGGAGGGTTTCTGCCAACCACGTTTCCTGTAAAATGATAATGTCAAAGTCACGCTGAAAAAAAGGAACATCTCTATACGAATGGAGGCAGCGTGACCAGCCAGCTACGTTCCAAGACAAAATTTCAAGTGGCTTATTTATAGTCTCCATATGTTGCAACAAAGATAGGAGCACTTTTCTCCACTGGGTGGGGTGGGAAGATCCATTATCCTACATAGTTCAAGATTGTCAGGGTGAACAATGAGGTTAGAATTGGGATTTCCTCTATTAATTATTATAGTTGGTCCCATGAGGGGGAAGTCCCTTCACCTGCGATCTTCAAAGAATTGATGGAATTAGAGCTGACATCCATTTCCTTCTCCTTGGCATCAGCAGACCTTTTTAGATCCTTCAAGATAGACCTAGACGTTCTATCAATGTCTCTTGATCATATATTGGGAGTGATGAAAAATTCGATAAGAGGTGCTTTTTGACTTCCTCTTCTGGCCAGCCTAGGGTCCAGATTTTTCAGGCCATTCCTACTGTCGCCAAACATTGATGGCAATTTATTAGAGGTTCCTGCTGTTGCCAAACAGTGATGGCAATTTATCAGAGGTGGAGGAGGAATTAGAGGGCTTCAAATCCAGTTCCATCAGAAGAAGAGGTAAATTTGGAGGAGTTGGTTGATCTAAGATTGCTGCGAAGTTTGTAGATTTTGCAGCTGTCTCCAAATAATGATTTTAATGGCCTTCTCATGGCCAGCAGCTTTTATATTCAGAGCTATCCTCCAGATTTGGAATTTTTAAAATGTCTTCGTAGCTTAATCCCTAACTCCACATATCTGGAAGCATGGGCAAATAGGTAAGAAGGAATTGTGTCTGTACAAAAGTAAAGTAGAAAGCATTCATATTGTATAGGGCCCACTAATCTTTCCATCTGGATAAGGTCAGTAAAGTCAGGGGCTGTCCTAAGAAGGGAAGTCAAATGTCCCTTTGCCTTCTGTTTAGAGTGCCAATTGATAAATCTCCCCCTCAGTGGAAAGACATTTATAACAATACTTTTTGAGTCATAGACCAATGAAAAATAATTTTCCTTAAGGACATCTGGCTTGTTTAGTGGAGCAGTAGGAGCAGTATGCTTTGTGGGAGTACTTATGAGACCTGCATTCTTGGCTCCATCTGATTCGTTTGGCTCCTGGGCATACGCTGTGTTTTTAATTGTAAAGTCTCTGCCCCTCTCCTGCAGCAGAGATACAAATTCTCTCTAATTAAGTGAAAATTGTCTGCAGAGATTCCGCCATTAGAGTTGCGTGATGTGCTAGCAACTCCATCTCCTCAGAGTGTCTGAATGATTGTATAATGCTTGAGCGGGGGGATATATTACATTCACGGAATTCCTTAGAAGTAGCCTGGATAGACGGCTACTTCTGACTCTACTGACTCTAGCACCTCCTCCTCCAGGCATTCAAATCTGTTTTGTAGCTTTATTGGGGCATAAAAATCTTCCATCTTAGATTGTTTAGGAGTTGGGGATATGTTCTCTCCTTGTTAAACTCTTTTCTTCTGCCCCACTTGATACCATTTATGTAAAAGCCCGTCATGATGTTGATTCGAATGTTCAGGTTACTTGAACTTTCTTGTCAGATCTCCCCACTCACCTCCGTCACTTTACAATTTGAAGCTTTAGGTCCTACCACTTCTATGAAACATACATTTAGAGTAATAGAATAATGTCTCCTTTTTACAAAGCAGAGTTCAATTTAAAATTGAAACACTGGTCTCAGCAGTGCAAGTTTCTTATCTTAAATAGTTTGTTGCCAGCAGGTCCTACTAATAATATTCCAACATAGTGCCAAATTAAGCAGACTCTAGTTGGTAAGCTAAAACATTTAGCATTCCTTCTAAGGCTTGGAAAACTGCCCAGTTGCCCAGCTGTTCAAGTAGCAAAATATGTTCTCAAGCATCCTGTAGTGCTAGATAGCAGGTAACAGATTTCAGACAAAAGAAAGTTGTTGTTTAAAACCTTAAAGCCTTGAAATCTTCGGAGCTTCTAAACAAGCCGACTGGACCCGCCGCACCGGAAACCGGAATTATGTGGCTGTAAACAGTGAATTGTTTGGTGTGTTGTGTGTTTAGGATCATGACTAGAGGCATGTAGATATGTTTGGTGATCTGTAGGATTCTGGTATAAAGTGGTTTTTATGCTTCTATTATGTATTTGTACAGTAGGGTCTAGAAAGTGTATTTCTTGCATGATTGGTTCAGTCAAGTTGATGGTGGGGTGTAAGCTGCTGAAGGCCTGGTGAACTTTCTCCAGTGCTTCTTTCCCATGTGTCCAAATGATGAAAATGTCATCAATAAATCTCAGGTACAAGAGGAGTGTTAACTGATGGGAGCTGAGGAAGTGCTGCTCCAGGTTAGCTATGAAAATGTTGGCGTATTGTGGTGCCATGTGGGTGCCCATGGCTGTCCCATTGATCTGAAGGAATAAATATTCACCAGATCTGAAGTAGGTATGACTGAGGACAAACTGGTAGAGCTTGGTAGTGAGGTCTGCCATGGCATTGTCAGAGATGATGTTCCTAATAGCTTGTAGTCCATCTTTGTGAGGGATGTTGGTGTACAGAGATTCAACATCCATGGTGTCCAAAACAGAGTCTCCTGGAAGATTGTTAACAAATTGTACACCAACTTGCTTGCGTCCATTATTGCCTTTTGAAGTTGCCCAGAGAGCCAGTTTGGTGTAGTGGTTAAGTGCACGGACTCTAATCTGGGAGAACCGGGTTTGATTCCCCACTCCTCTACTTGTACTTGCTGATGTGACCTTGGGTCAGTCACAAGCTCTGGCACAGCTGTCCTTGAAAAAGAGCAGTTTGTGTCAGAGTTCTCTCAGCCCCACCCACCTCACAGGGTGTCTGTTGTGGGGAGGGGAAGGGAAAGGAGTTTGTAAGCCGCTCTGAGATTCCAAGTGAAGGGCGGGGTATAAATCCAATCTCTTCTTCTTCTTCTCCTTTCCATCCCAGTACCTGCAAGGCTGGGGAAGGGATAAGGATGCAGAAATTAATCCAAGATGGGTAGCCCTGTTAGTCAGTCTGTAGCAGTAGAAAAGAGTAAGAGTCCAGTAGCACCTTAAAGACTAACAAAATTTGTGGTAGGGTATGAGCTTTTATGAGTCACTGCTCACTTCTTCAAATACAGCATTAATTCAAACTAATCCACATATCTTGTGTACCTTGCACAGATCTTTTTACCAATGCTGAAGAAACATCCAGAATGGCATATAGCTTGGTCAATTCAGGAGGAGTTTGCTTTGTTCCATCTTTCAGTGGATTGCAGGTAAAGCTGATGTCGTTTTATTATTATACTTCCCAAAATATATGTTGGTCCATTGGAAATCAGTTTTGTTATAATCTCTGACTCTTTTCATAATGATCAGGCCTTATTCTAGAGTGTATGTTTGTATAAATCACATAAGCACAGTTTTGGATTGCCTGGTGGTGTGTTTAATATCCTATCCCCCCTCCCCATTTATGGAGTTTGTTTTACTGAAGTCTACAGTAACTTTGGAGACTTGCAACAAATGTGGAATTTGCTTTCAGTACTTCAGAAGCTTGAGCCACTTCCTCTCAGGCACTCAAGTGTTAACTTAAAAATACCTTTTAGGGTTGCCAGATCCAGGTTAGGAAGCTTCTGGAGATTTGGGGATGGAGCCTGGGAGGACCTCAGTGGGGTACAATACCATAGAATCCTCCCTAAAGCATCCATTTTCTCCAGGGGATCTGATCTCTAGAGTCTCTGGAGATTAGCTGTAATTGCAGATGATCCCCAGGTCCTGCCTGGAGGCTGGCATCCCTACTTTTCTAAGGTACCCTCATATTCTGAATAGTTTTTCAAGGTTCATATAGTTTTTTTTCCAAAGTACTGTAGCAGTAAATTTCCAGAGTTGTAAAAATTTGGTCTGATCCTTCGTTTTCACTTTGCTTAAAACTGTATTTTTTTTTTATATCCCAGCAATTACTGTGATGTTGTACCAAAGTATTTGTTGTCACATTACACTGTTTCCAGAGGACTGAATGTTGCAAGGGCATAAAGATTCTGCACTAAAATAACCATGGAATTTCCCACTTCAGTTGTTCACTTCTCCCTACAGGAATAGGACAGGGGAAGATGTGACCCCAGGGGCTTCTGTTACTCTCTTCTTGGGTACAGTTCCCATTCTTTTTTTTTGGGGGGGGGGGTTTGGAAGTTTCTCATCAATCTTTTTTCTCATTATTTTTTTCCTAACTGTGAACAAACCATTTAAATATTCATTTGTGAGAAAGAAATCCTTTTTAGTTTTAATCCATATTGAATGTCACCATGCCACATCAAGCCTCCTGCTATAACTGATGATCATCAATTTGTCTTTTGATACCTTTTTGTGAATTTTGAGGTTCCACCCATACAAAGGTGCTACTCTTGTTGTTCATCTATATACTTGTATATTCGTGTTCTGCTTGCTTTCCTCTTCAAGGAAAAATACACAATCCAAACTAGACTGGAAATTTACTTATTTGCTTCATTTATACCTCACCTTTCTACACAAATGGGATCCAAAGCAGCTTACTTTATTCTTGTCCCCTCAAATTTTATCCTCACAAAAACCTTGGGAAGTAGGTTAGGCTCAGAGTAGGGCTGCCAGCCCCCCGGTCCAGGCAGGAGTTCCCCCGTTTTAGTGGGATACTCCCCACAACTGGCCAGCTGGCTGGTGGGGGGAACCCCACCTGCAAATGCCCCCAAACATGGTTCTGCTAACGTTGCTCAGCGACGCTCTAGTTTTTGGGCACTAGCCATAGTGAATAAAGGTGTCTACAGCCAGTAACTGCTCAGTTGCAATTCTAAACAGGCAGATTCAGGGGAACACGTTGGCCTCTTGATTGGCCCTTCATGGTACCTGGTTGGCCTCAGTATCTGAGGCAGGATTGTGGACTTGATGGGCACTGGTCTGATCCAGCAGCACACCTCATATATTCTTATCAAAAAACAAATTATGCAAAATGGCAAAAGAAATTATGCAATCCTGTAACAGTAGTTAGGATTTTTTAAAAAGCAGGCTACACAGAGTACTGAATATAAACCAGAAAGTAAGATTAATATCCATCATTCCAGAAAAAAACCCATTCTAATCATAAGCAGATTTTCGAGGTACTATATTAAAGTATATTCTGAATAATTAGACATTTAAGATCTATATGCTGCCTATTATAGTCTTAATTTTCTTCTTACTATGCTGCCTCTTATTGTCATGTGTAACTTATTTTTTATTATGACTTGTCCATTCCTAAACATTGGCAGGCAGAACATATTCATGCATATCTTAATTTCATACCTTTATTTTAGATCCCAGTGAACGACCCTTGTGCATGTACCTCTTTTATGGGGATCACATCCTCCACCACCAAAAACCACCTCGTTCGAGCAATGTTGGAATCTATTGCTTTCAGGTACTTCGCCAGCTGTGTCCAACAACAACATGATGTCAGCTATGGTTGGATCAGGCTACCTGCCAGTGCTGTTATTGTCTGATGGCTTGTCTTTAGTATTGTGATTTTAACTGTAAACTGCCTCAAGCAGGATGGTGAAGAGGCAGCAAAGAAATAGAAAAATAAATATTGTAGCTGAACTCAGGTTTTCCCTTTCCCCACACAGTCTCATATACTTTGGTATCAAAAATCCAGAAAGCGATGTTGTCATCATGTTAAGGGACTTACTAAGCCCCAGTATCTCTGGTTCCTGTGGTGTTCTGAATTCACATTTGCAGGAAAATATACCAGGTCCAAAACTACCTTGTCTGGGCTTCTGTGCAATTGTGTGGATCTCCACTGGAACACCTGTACACAAAAGTCCAATTATTTGTAAAGCAAACAATTGAAATGCATGTACAGGTCATGGCACACAGAGCCCCTGCCTCATAGAAGACCGCAGAGTGTCAGAAACTAGAAGGATTCTTATTGTAATCCCTCATCCCCATACCTGTCTTCACTCTGCCTGGCTTTGATGTGCTGTTCTTCCAAATCTCTGTTACTTTTTTCATGCCTGAAAAGACATTTTACTTTGCGCCTTTCAGTCTTCTGCTTGCACCTGATCTAGAACCTCTATTTGTACTTAGAAACTACCAGACTAAAACCCTCTCTCTTGCATCCTAACCCACTGCATGCTTACCCTAGTTTCTATTGTAAATTTCCTATGTGGATACTTTAAACCTTCAACAGGCTCTGTGCCTGTTGCTTGCTCACTGTGCCCTACTTCCTCTTCTGTCTTCAAAACAGCTGCTAGAGCATCTCTGAAAACAGGGTGCTTTGCTCCTTACTGCCCGGTTTTAAGTTCAAGTTGAGCAACAAGAATTTCAATTCTACTGTGGCATCACCACGGACAACAAGCAGTGGTTGGTGAATAATAAAACGTTTCATATGGTTATGTTAACCCTAAGTAGTGTGAGTGCGTCATTTTGATTGATGAGAATGGACAGTGGGTCCTGTACACATATTTTTAAAAATTGTTGAGATACTAACTGGCTTTCCTACTTCCCATTATCTAGTAAATATTGATTATTACCTGTGCCTCTTGCTATTATGGATAGGAAATACGGGTACTATAAAGAGTTGAGCAGACCCAGTTTGTTTCATAATAGCTCACTTAAGCCTTTTGTAGAATCTTAATGATCTAGCTAATTTTGAACAAACTGTGGTGTCTTGGTCATTAAAATTGCATACTGTACTTCTAAAGTGAGTATCACTTGTATGTAAATGCTTTCATTTCTATTGAATATTTTCTGTAAGGAACAAACAACTATATGAAACCATCACAAGAGAGGTGGATGTTCCAACTACATACATTCGGTATGTATTATGTGAAGTTGTGCATTTTTTGTGAGTTTGTATAAAATATGAGTGGTTTCCAAGATTATTATTAAAACAATATCCAGTGGAATTTTGTCTTTTTACGGAATTTGGTTCAGTCTCTGGACTAGGTAGTGAAGCTTTCTAACTACCTGTATGTTTTCTACCAGCTTATTGTCAGCAACCTGGAGGGAACTTAATACATTGCAAACCTGTAGAATATATCCCTGAGCTTGATGTCCTTCAGAGCTTGTGCATTTCACTGTAGGAGGGTTAGGGGTGTGCATTCGGTTTATCTGAGCTGGGAAAAAACCCTGAAAAATACCTTACCAGTATTTTCCAGGTATTTTTCAGCCAGAGTATTTAGCCGGCTATCCGATATGGCCAAGCCTGAAAAATCCCGAAAATATTCAGGATTTTTAAGGGCTGCCGGATAGCTGGCATTTAAGGGTGCTTGAAGTCCCTTAAAGTGCGGTGGCTCAAGTGGTTAAGACACTGAACTGCAGGCTGTGGAAGGTCAGTAGTTCAGCAGTTCGAGACCCGGGTGACGCAAGACGGGGTGAGCTCCTGTCTCTAGTTCCAGCTCCTGCCAACCTAGCAGTTCGAAAGCAAGAAATTGCAAGTAGATAAATAGGTACCACTTTGGTGGGAAGGTAACAGCGTTCCGGGCGCCTTGGTGTTTAGTCATGCCGGCCACATGACCACGGAAACGTCTTCGGACAGCGCTGGCTCTTCGGCTTTGAAATGGAGATGAGCACCGCAACCCTAGAGTTGGACTTGACTGGCTTTTGAGCAAGGGAACCTTTACCCTTTAAATACCTTATGGGTGAAACTGGCTTGGAGAAGGCATTTAAAGGGACTGCAAGCCCTTTAAATGCCTTCAAAGTTCAGCTGTGGCTTGCAAAAGGCATTTAACAGGACTGCGTACCCTTTAAATACCTTTTCCCCCTCCACTGGAAACAATAGAGGATGGGGCACCTTCTTCTGACCCCCCTGATCCAGTCTTTTTGAAACTGGGGGGGGAGGTTGAGGAGAGGGCACCAGCAGCTATGCTGCAAATTTGTTGTCTCTACCTCAAAAAACAGCCCCCACAGAACCTCAGATACTCCCAGATCGATTCTCCATTATACCCTATGGGGACAATTGACTATTATGGTGCCCACAGGGTATAATGGAGCCAAAAAAAATTGGCCATCCTGAATATTTACCAAATCCAAATACCATACCAGTATTGGGATTTAGGAATATCAGGAAATACTGATATTTTGGGGGTTTAATATACCCGAACCTGAAAAATACTGGGGGTATTTTGCACACTTCTAAGAAGATACAGGAGTTCCCATTCACATGTTACAGTACAAGAGTGAAAGGCAGAAGTCCTTATTTTTCTGTGGGGCAAAAAAGTCTCCCCTCCCCTTTCTTGCTGAGTACAGATAATGCAGGCAGCACCATTCATTAACTGAAGTGGTTGTCTTCTTGGCATGACTGTAAGTCACAATGTGCTTTTTATTGCTCCAGAGAGTATTTGTAGCGAAAGATGGAAAATAATGCAGCAAAGGCACAAACACAAGGAAGAGGTGCTGACATTGGATTCTGTTGGTTAAGATCAGTGCGCCAGATTAGAGGATGTTGTATACAGTATGATGACTTCGTGATTGAAAAGATGATGTTCCACTTTATCTTCTAGAACTGCTTACTGTTCATGTGCCTTTTTCCATTTTTTGCCTTTGCTAGAGGTATTTAATCATTTAAACCAGCCTTTCCTTTTTATTTTCTACTTTCTCACAGAGCTGATGGAGGTGTCAGTAAGAACAGTTTTGTAATGCAGATGACTTCTGATTTAATTGACAAAACAATAGACAAGCCTGTAATTACAGATATGTCTTGTCTTGGAGCAGCTTTTTTAGCAGGTCTTGCTATAGGTATGTAGCAATCTGAATGTTAACATTTATTTATAAAGTAAGAGAGCAAGCATTTCCTTATGTTTTATGAGTTATTATAATGCCTCCATTACTTTCTGCAGTTGGGACTGGAGTATGAAATATTTATGTTGTGTTTTGGGTTTGTATTTTGTATTAGATGCTGAACTTCTAATAACCTTTTAAAGCAAGATTCAGACAACAAACTTCAGTTGAGGCCTTGCCTCTGTATTTCTAGTAGCATATTCTATCTAGTTTTCTATCTACATGTTTTTATAATTATTTGACTATTGCACACCACATTTCCTTAAATATCTGTTTTGTAAAAACATTACTGTTGTATACAGAATAAATTCATGAGTCTCACCTGCATGCATGGAAGCCAATGCCCTTTTCTAGCATGACTTATTTGAAGCTTGATGATTTATTCAAGTAGTCAGCTAAGACCTTCCTGTATTTCAGATGCTATTATACATTTTTTTTTAATGAACATGGCTGAAATCTCTGGAGTTGGCATCCTAGGCTGATTTATTTGGGAATAAATTCTGCTGAAATGTTATGGAACTGACTTTTAGTTAAATGTATTTCCATCTGTGATCTACACAACACTTTGTTAAGATGGCTTTGAAGCACTGATTTAAGTGGGGCTAACAATCTAATCCACCAGTAATGCAAGCACTGAATAATGAACAATATGTATCTGTCTCCTCCATGGTTGTTACAGTGTTACAAGGGTCTTAAGGAAAGTAATGAGATTCTGTGTTTATCCTTTCTCTTGTATTAAAACTTTAACTTTGCCATAATGGTCCAGGAGACAGTAGAACATCTGACACAATCCTTGGTCTTTCCTGCATTTGCCCAGAATTTCTGTGCTGGCTGGCATTTGAGGTTATCTTAGTGCAAAAGGGTGAGGCTTGGTGACCTATACAGGCATGCTTGAACCTGTTGCTGAATCTCAGAGCTAGTCAGATGTAAGAAGTGTATATTGTGTAGAAAGATCATGAGGAGACAGGAAAGAATCCCAAGACTGGAGCAGGCTTGCTATTCTTTATCTGGGTTTGAACTAGCATGAATCAAATTACTTCTCTGTAGAGAATAAGCTATGATGGGAGATCATGTATGTAAATGCAAGAGGCTTTATATGTAAGTGGGACCTCCTTGGGGCCTGAAATGTTGTCTTAGTAGAACTTTGGTTTCATGGAGTGTACAGGTCTATACACGAATAGCACACATTTAACTCTAAATTAAATACGGAGCTGCTAGTGTATGTGCTGTGGAATTAGGGCCTGGATTGAGCCTCTGTTAAATCTGTGACTGATTTCTATAGTAATTAGCTTCTATTGTTGAATCTTTGGTCCTGTTTCCAAAGAGGCTTCAGGACCCTGCTAAGTGCTGTGGCCTTTTGGTACCGATAACCCTGTACGCGCCTTTTGCCTTACATGACTTTTGCCTTTTGGAATGTTTATACATTATCAAATTCCAAACAGAGTATCTGTAACTAGCTTCCTTGACTTTCTGAGTCAGCCTACCTTAACCCAGCTTTCCTTGACCTTCTTGACCCCAGAGATAGAAAGAAAGAGCTAACTTTGTTACATACATCAGAGATGTATGTCAGGGGGAGTTCCGGTGACTGCGAGACTGCGCAGTCAGACCGAAAAGAGCCTCCGCATCTGTGCTCCAAATAACGCTAAAAAAAGATCAACTAAGGACTCTTAAGATAAGAACTGCTTGTCGGAAGGAATGGGGAGGCCAAAAGGAGGGAAAGCAGCCAAGAAAAATATCAAAGAGTCTCAACAAACCGAGAGAAACATGCTAACTTCGGATGAAGACTCTCCTCCCCCACTAGAAGCTGAGTCAGACGGTGAAGCTGCTTGCCGACAGACTAAAAGGAAGCGTGAGGACTCTATAACCAAAAAAGACATACAGACTATGTTTGTTGAAATGAAAAAAGAGTTCAAAGACAGCATTACTCCAATCCACCAAAAGCTTGATGCTATGAACTTGAGCCTTACAGACTTGAGGGAGAGAACAGAACAGGCATTGAAGCAGACTGCTCAAAATTCGAAGGAAATAGAGAATTTAAAGACTTTTGAGACTTGGAGCAAGTCCAAAATAATATTATTGGACACAAAGGCCCGCGAAAAAAAAATCAAGCTTAGGGGAATTTCCCCAAACTTTGCCTTACAGAAAGATCTCGCGGGCTCTTTAAATGAATGGCTCCAAGAATTACTGCAGCTGCCGGCTCCACCAATTTGTCAAGCCTATCGACTGAAGACACCCCAATCAGGCTCCCCCACTCTCATCCCGGACATAATGGCTGAACTGACAGACATCAAAGTAAAGAAAACTATTTTAGAAGCTGCAAGGATAAATAATGGACTTAAACTGCAAGACACCCAGATTCAAGTGTATCAGGACCTCCCACCAGAGATTTTAACAGCACGTCGTACCTTGAAACCTATTACACAACGTCTGGCAGAAAAACACATCAGGTACCGTTGGCTTCCACTAGGACATTTATATATAAATCACAAGAACAGAACATTTACTGTCTATGATGTCAAGTCAGGTGAAGAAATGCTAAGAGTTTTAGAAGATGTGTCTACATAAGAAACTCCAATAGGGATGGAGTCTAAGTTTTGGATACAAAAACTCTAAAGAGCCTCTGAAAAGGGAAAAAACATCTGTTGGAACCCTCAAGAGAGAGAGGAAAAAAGGTTTAATTTTCAGATAATATGCCTTAATATTATTAGTTTTTAAATATATAGATAGCAAGGTATAATAGGAGCACAGCGGGTAAGGCACTCGGCAGGAACTTCCCTATTACCTCCCATAGGGCGGGGTCCTAGGGAATGACCCCCTTTGGAATTTTCCAAAGACCCACAGGGAGGTGGCAACCTCCAAGGACTCCACCAAGAAGGTTAAAAATTTTGTGGCCGTTGTTTTAGTTTTTCACTAAGAGTAATTAAAAGGCATAAAATAATATAGTTAAGATACATGAGAAACAGCTTGGGATAAATTTAAAAAATCTCTTTATTAATTATGTATTATTTGGGCATGAGTTCAAGGAGAAGGAATAAAATAGTTTCTTAAGCTACCACTGGTAATGACGAAGGAAATTCTTTTTGTTCTTAACACTTATAATGTAAGCAGACATTGCCAGTGATATGGTGTATTAGAGAATGTATTAATTTGTATAGCACTTTAAAATGTATGATTTGTGTTGCAATCATGTTATTTGGAAAATAATAAAATATTTAAAAAAAAAAAAAGAGATGTATGTCAAATGCACATTAACAGAGTTGACTGACAGTTACATTAGCTCCTATGGTTGGAAAAGGGTACTTAATGTCTGAATTTAGTTTTGTTCCTTGTTGTTCTGGCCAACCACCATCTGATATGGGTCTTGACAGAGCAATCAAGGATATCCTTTATAGACCTTCAAGTGCACTATTTATGTATTGAGGTTGTGTTGAAATATTCTGTGTTGAATATTGAAATGCTACAAAAGGGTTTTCTGACTTAAGAGTGTGTAAAAGAATAAATTGAGTTTTGGTTTAGAACAACTCTCTCTCTCTCTCTCTCTCTCTCTCTCTCTCTCTGCAATTGGGAATCTAGCTTCTCTCCCTCCCAAAATGAACACAGTGGGGATGGGAGTGCGTGAAAAGATTCCTGCACCCCTCATTTCCCCAACAGTATGTATGATAACTTAAGTGTTTTAGGACCTGCAGTCATACTGGTCAAAATTAGTCTGTCTGACTTAAGTATTCTTAGGATTTGCCTTGTTAATTGTCCCCAGAAGAATGAGTTGAAGCCTATGGATGAGTTTTTGTTAATACTAACAAACTTCAATCATTCCAGTTGCATAAAGATACAATCTTTCTCACTGGTGGCTAATTGGATTCATTTTCTGTAAATTTAAAATGTAAAAATATGCCTGTTCTGTAAAAATGTTATAACTAAATTTCTTTCTTCATTCTGCCATTCCAGTAGGATTTATGTATTCCTCTGCACTTGATATTGATCCTAAATTAATGAGCAACCTTAAGAATGATTGTTCTTTGTTTTTATTTATAGGATTTTGGAGTGACAAAGAGGAACTAAAGAAGCTGAGGCAAACTGACGTGGTTTTTAAGCCACAAAAGGGGCCAAAGGAATATGAACTTGCCATGAACAACTGGACAAAAGCTGTTCAACGTTCTCTACACTGGTACAGCCAGATACCACAGTAATGGGATGAGTTGAAAAATCTAGATTATCTATGAAACAACGGTTTACTAGGACAATAAATTCTGCTTTACAGTAGCAAATACTGTACTTCACATGTACAGTTACTAATCCTATATCAGTTATCCAAATGAAACATCTGTGACCTTCAGTGACTACCATATAACATTGAAGAAGGCTGAATACCAATTACATGTGGTCCCAGGGGATGACTTCATGTAGGAGAAGTAGATGACACTTTGGCATTTTTCTGCTAGTTGGTGATTTTACCATCTATCATGATCTCTACAAAATGCTGTCTCAAGAAATTATACCAATGAGCCAAGTAGCAAATTGGCCTATTTTTAAAATGACTTTGTTTTTGAACTGTCATGTCTGACATGATTTTCATTGCTGACTGGAAATCAGTCAGCCATCCGCACTGCTTAGGAAACAGAGAAGGGTTTTGCTCATGTAGTATTGCTCCTGATGCTTTATCCAGTTGTTAAATTCCAAATGGAGAAACTCCTTGCAAATATGTAACTTTTATGGAAGTAGTTATCTCAGCCGATCAGGATGGCTTTGTGCTCCACAACAGGGCGGGTTTGGCAGCACAACTTATATCTCTTGACTCATGTTACTGTTTGTACTGATTTTACTCCCAGAGTTTCAAACTGGTACCCCAATTACTGACAGCCTCCTACTCTAATAATTAAAAATATGAGCTACCTCACAGTTTGTATGCAATAGTGCACATGCACCAGATGTTTTCTTTTGGCAGCTGTCCAGTTAAAACTTGTGAGCATCTGCTGCACTGTGAGGGTCGGATTGGGGCCGATGCAGCGTCCAGGACCTTCTCGTGGGGGCCTTGACAGGCTTCAGACTAGAGAGGGGAAGGAGTTAACAGCACCCTTGGTGTTCCTCACAGGGTGTCTGTTGTGGGGAGGGGAAGGGAAAGGAGTTTGTAAGCCGCTCTGAGACACCTTTGGGTAGTGAAGGGCGGGGTATAAATCCAATCTCTTCTCTCCTTCTTCTCCTTTTCTACTGCCCTCCACTGTAGCCCATTAGCTGGCAGGAGGGCTAGCATGTCCTCCCAGGCCTGTGTAACTAACCCTTATGGGGAAGACTCCCGGGGGTATGCCTGCCCCTTCCTCTTCCTGCCTCCCTTAAGGTTGTCCCACCCTTCTAGGCTGGCCTGTAGCTACAATGGGGCTATTGGAAGCTCCACTCCCTCCCTTAAAAGAATAAAAGGTGTGCACTCTCTTGCTGCACCACAGCAAGCCACATGCCAAACAGACCCTTTTTAATCACCTTCCCCTGCGATCAGAAGTCACAGTGCCACTGCCTGTATCTGTTGGTCTAATTATTATAAGGCATGATGGGAATTAAAGTTTTTCCTCATGCCTGTGCCCAGCAAAGGTAGGTAACTGTTTCCCCTATATTAAATCTCCCATCATGTCTTTTGCTGCAACGAGGCTGACAACTAAAGCCATGTCCAGGTAACAGGAGGCTAAGCTCCCCCCCCCTATTGCAGTTGCTTTGTACCACCACATTGTCAGGGAGGGGGAGAAACCACTTTATTGCTTGAGGAGGGGAGAGCCTCAGCTTCCTGCGCAGGGAGCTATGGAACTGCCAATGCCCAGGCACTGGGCTGGGATGAGCTAGTGCATGACTCCCCAGTGTGCCACTCCAGCTTGCTTTCCCCTGGTTCCCCCCTCCAAGCCCCGGAGCTTGATTTTTCTCCTCTCCTTCATTTTCCTCTACCATTTTCTGTTTTAAGTTAAAATAATGGCAGCCACAGAAGGAAAAAAAAATTGCCCCACAAGCCACAAAATCGTGGCTACAGGACAGCTTCTGGGTTGATTAGCAGGAACCCTTGCCCATCAGGTGTGACTGCGTCAGGTTGGCCTCCAGGCTTGCCCCACACCACGCTTAAATGGCTGCCCCACCTCCCCTCAGCCAGTTGGTGCCAGCATATTAAGGCTCAGAGCTGTCCCATGCAGCAGCTGTTCCTCTCTTGCCCAGTCTTCCTGGGTCAGGCGTGCTGCTGGCCTCTTGGGCAGGACTGGTTGCAGTGAGCCTACCACCTGGAGGGCAAAACTGCCTTGCTTGGTCAACTGGCATGGGTGGGGCTGAATTCTGTTGTATGTTCTGCCTGGCCGTCTCCACCTCTACCCCCAGGCAACCTGAATCTATTTTTTATAAGCTTGGGGATGATAGTTAAAAAGAATATAAGGAGCTGCTCAAAGGGAAGTGCCCAAATGTTTCCCAGGCAATGGGTAGTATCCTATGAACCTGGAGTGGAAAGTGGATCTTTCCCACTTTCCCCAGCAGCCCCCTTCCCAAAAAAGTTTCCGTGTTGGAAGCACAGAAGCCTCATGGACAAAATGCCATGGGGCACAGGTAGCTGCAACAAATGGGGAATCAGGTGACATTGCCCCCATGTGGTGATGGAGTCTCATGCTCCATGAGCAGAAGAGCAAGAAGGGACAAAGTTGCCAATTTCTCCCTCCTTGCAGCAGCCACTCCACTGTCCATTTTATCCACACTGCTCCTGTGACTTCCAGTACCAGGTTTTTAGAGATTTCAAGGCTGGTGGGGAACAGGAAGAACTCCATGTCTCCAGGCACCAATTGTGTAGTGTGTGTGGAATCCAGACATCTTTAGAAATGTTGTTGTAAGTTTTTAGCACTGAAAATGCAACATTTTATCCTTGGAAACAGTAAATGTTCTTGAACCCTACACAGAGCAGTTCTCAATGTTGTGGCTTGTGCCAACTCTTCTGCCATTTTCTGAACTCTCTGAAGAGTTTGTTTACTTTTGGAGCAGTGGGCTAATGTAAAAAAGTGCTTGCTGTCACTTCACTGTTTTGACTAAGCTTTCTATAAGAAGCGTATATAGTAATATATCCTTACATGGGGATAGGAATAGGAATCTTTCTCCACAAGGCATTGTCCCCCATCCTCTGGGCTCTAAATATCATGCTACAGACATGCAGTGGAATTTGTAGGTGAACCATATATCTTGCAGAATCATATCTAAAAAAAAATCTCTAGTACATGCATTTCTGGATCATAGTGATAGCAAATGCAATTAAGCATGAACATAAATGTTATGTTGCTCTAATTGCAGAATGTGGGGTTCTGCTTAGATTTTTGAATGCAGAATTCTGGATAAGCCTGCCATATGTTACCATTAAGTGCCTGAATGGGAATGGGGCACAAACAGAGAATTTTACATGACAAAAATGTGAACTAGATTATCTTCTCATAGTCTGTAGTCATCAGCATATCCTATGAATTTTATTGGTAATGAGTTATTTTTATATGGTTCTGTTACATACTTATTCCATATTCTGGGCTACTGTTCCTGGGTTAACTTGATTTTGTGAACTTGAGATGGAGAGTGCAAATATGTGTGTGAAAGTCTGAATAACATTTTGTTATCTTTGTGGGCCAGTTCCATGGGAGATAATTTGCTTTGACTGTCTTAAAGTTGCAGAAATATAACCTACTAGATTTCTAATCCTGTAATACAAGAATTGTATCATAATGGTTTAAGTTAATGATGGTGATTAAAACTGTAACTACTATACTGTTTTTGAAGCATCTTTAATAGCATCTTTTGTTGTTGTTCAGTCGCACAGTCGAGTCCGACTCTTTGCGACCCCATGGACCAGCTCCCGCCAGGCCTTCCGGTCTTCCGCTGTCCTCTGGATTCAATCTTTGCCAGCATCAGGGTCTTCTCCAGTGAGTGCTCCCTTCTCATTTGGTGGCCAAAGTATTTGAGCTTCAGTTTCATTATCTGGCCTTCCAGGGAGCAGTCAGGGTTGATTTCTTTGAGGATTGACTGATTTGTTCTTCTTGCAGTCCAAGGGACTCTCAAGAGTCTCCTCCAGCACCATAGTTCAAAAGAATCTATTCTTCGGCGCTCGGCCTTCCTTATAATCCAACTCTCGCAGCCATATATGACTACTGGGAATACCATTGCTTTGACCATGCGGACTTTTGTTGGCAGGGTGATGTCTCTACTTTTTATCATGCTGTTTAGGTTCGCCATCGCTTTCCTCCCAAGGAGCAGGCATCTTTTAATTTCATGACTGCTGTCACAGTCTGCGGTGATTTGGGATCCCAGGAACGTGAAGTCTGTCACTACTTCCACGACTTCCCCTTCTATTTGCCAAGGAGTGATGGGGCCGGATGCCATGATCTTAGTTTTTTTGATGTTGAGCTTCAAGCCCACTTTTGTGCTCTCCTCTTTTACCCTGAGCAAGAGGCTCTTTAGGTCCTCTTCACTTTCTGCCATCAGAGTGGTATCGTCTGCATATCTGAGGTTGTTGATCTTTTCCCCAGCAATCTTAATTCCCGCTTGTGATTCATCTAGGCCAGCATTTCGCATGATGTACTCTGCATATATATTAAATAAGCAAGGCGACAATATACATCATTGTCGTACTCCTTTTCCTATGCAAAACCAATCAGTTGTTCCATATTCGGTTCTAACTGTCGCTTCTTGGCCCTTATACAGGTTTCTCAAGAGACATGTGAGGTGGTCTGGTACTCCCATCTCTTTAAGGACCTGCCATAGTTTGTTGTGATCCACACAGTCAAAAGCATCTAATAACGTCTAATTCACAAATACTTTAACTGCATCAAATATTTTTTACTGTGAGCTTCATTTTATAAATGAATAAAAAGTAGGGCACTCCCCAAACAGTCTGACTATATTTTAGAAGACACTGGATACGTGGAACTTTTGAGGGTCAAAGTGAGTAAGAAAATTAGCATGCTGAAATCCTGTAAGCTTAGAAAATGGGGCGGACATATTTTGGCAATAGGGTTTCTTCATAGGGCTTTTTATAAATAACTCTACGTCTAAAAGTAGATGTTCAACTTTGTCAGTCTAACACCTGCCCTTCAGCTATATGTATTCATTTTAAAATTTTACCCTTCTTTCTCATAAAGCAGAACATGATATAATTAAAAAAATAAAATACAACAAGTCTAAGACAGAATAAATTAGTCCTTTCCCCAAGCACAGCTGAACCATCCTGCCCAGAACACTGTCTTCCACAGAGGCAGCAGGCAACTCCTATGCCAGGGGTGGCCAAACTGTAGCTTGGGAGCTGCATAGGGCTCTTTCACACATATTGTGTGGCTCCCGGCAAGGTGGCTGGGGAAGCGAAGGGGAGGCATGCCTTCCCGATCTGTCTTCCCTTCCCCAGCCAGTGTTCTCCTCCCTGGGGAGGTTTGAGGGGGGGGGGAGCAGAGAAAGAAAGCAACTTTAACTTTGAATGTGTTCTCAAAGCCCCCCTGTTTGCCGCATGGAAGACTCGGACCACAACATGCATTCAGATGCGTTTATTTTACTTCACAAGACTGACTAAAACGGTCCTGCAAGGCCAACTATACACACACACCCAGTACACCCATGGTCCCATTGGAGGGTTTGAATTTCCCGCCAAGGTTCTATTGGACTCGAGGTGGACTAGGATCCTAGGTCCCCTTTGTGTTTGGGGACCAAGCTCCTGCTTAGCCGTGGACCCCTGGTGGCGGTCCACATACATAACATAACACCCCCCAGCTGGCTTGTAGAAGGCACTTGCCTCTTTAAATCCCTTCTCCAAGCCAAGCAAGCAAGCCAGGGGGTGGGGGCGCTTGGAGGACACATTTTAAATTAAAGCAGCTTTCTTTCCACCTCTCCCTTCCTCCTCCCATTTATTTGCTTTCTTTCCACCTCTCTCTCTTTTCTCCTTCCTTCCCCCTCCCCCTCTCTCTCTCTTTTCCCTCCCCGCCCCTCTTCCTGCCTTCCTTCCTCCCTCTCTTCCTTCCTTCACCTCCGTCGTCTATTTGCTTTCTTTCTTTTTACCCCTATTTATTTTTGGCAGTCTCATTTAATGTTAATAAAAAGCAAATTTGCATATTTTCCAACAAAAATGTGTGACATTTGTTCATGTCTTGTGGCTCTCAAACATCTGACATTTATTCTATGTGGCTCTTATGTTAAGCGAGTTTGTCTACCCCTGTCCTATGCAGTGGCTGAAGGCAGCCCTACCTGGACTGACTCTGTTCCTTGGAAGCAGCAGCCTTAGATTCACACTACTTGCTATAATATTAAACTGGAATAAAAATGAAGCTGTTATAATAAGGGCATATTCTAGATCTAGAAATAAATGTCCTATTAATGTTTTATATGGTGATTTGGGTTAAGCATCTGTGGACTCAAATTTATAATTTATGCAAGATAACAAAATAACACTCAATGGCCTAGTGACTACTGGGGTGTAATTCGCAGGCCACTTGGGCCTCTGATATAACCACAGGCACAAAGGCTGCTGTGAGCAGTTTTTGGTTCTGTGTTTATTTGCAAGTGGTTTGGAAATCAGGCTTTTTATATGTGGGGGGGAAACAAACCTTTGAACTAAAATGTTTACTGTGAAATGTCATGTGTTCAATGGGATTTACTTACTGTACTTACACGGTTAACGGTAACTTTGGTTCATAAAAGTTCATCTTTCGCTTAACTTCAGGCTTCAATCATATAGGGACCCCATATACTGGTGGGGCTCTCTTTCCCAGGAAGCGTGTTTGAACAGTCCTTTTCAGGGAGACCTCTACGCGTCCGTTTCTACCCGGTGGCGGCGGCAGCTGACAGGAGAAGGGACCAGCACTGAAGAGGAAACTTCAGCAGCGAAGCCATTTTCTGACAGAGGCGGCGGGCAACCCGTCGCGGCTCCTCTGCCTCGTAGTCACGGAACATGCGCTCCCGCCTCGTAGTGGCTCCGCCCTCCCCTTCTGAGCGGCCCGCAGGTTGTGTACACAGAGTCAGGCACACCAATAGGAAACGGGAGGCGCCTGACCTCACGCGGAGCCGCCGGCCAATGAAGGAGCTCCGTTACCAGACGCCGCCAAGCTTGTGCGGGGGAGAGCGAGCCTGCTCCTGTCGAAGGGGAGAGCAGTAAGCGGAGCGGCGTGTGGCGGCGGCAGCGCTGAGGTAGGCGCGACAACATGAAGTCCTGCGCGGGACTTTCTTCCCTGAGCCTGGCGGGCTTCTTACTTCCCGAGGAAGACCGTTTTCTTCCTCTCACTCTCTCGCCACGCACGAACCGGCGCGTGTGTTTTGGAAGCCGTCGTTAACTGCGGCAGGCCCCGCCGCCCCGCTGTCTTTCAGCCGCGAGGGTGGGCCCCGCCGCCCCTTCTCCCTCCAGTTTCTCCAGCGCGTTTCGAGGGGGTCGCAACTCTCCGCTGAGGTGAGGGGAGGCTCCTCTTTCCCACTTCCGCGTCCCCGCCTCTTCCTCCGGCTTTGGCTGTTTGTTTTCCTGGGCCGGCGAGGGCTGTTGCCTGCCTTTCGACGCTGCTGCTCGTTCGCGCCTCCTTTAGCAGGTTGGCTCTTCTGTTGCCATTCCTCCCCTTCGTTCTTCTCCAGTCGTTCTTTCAGGTTCGCTTCTTCACGGAAAAGCCCCGAGTACGTATTTTGCTTTCCTAGTCAGGGCCTCGACAACAGTCCCGCCCAGCTCGGTCGCAGGGGCCTCTGGCGCCGTTGCTGCCGGTTGCCAAGTGCGTCGTCCCTAGGTCTCTGTCTCGGCGGGGCCTTTTTTTCTTCTGGCCGGAACTAGAGCATTGTTTATGAGGCTTGCGCTCTTGGAGGTCTGCCGCTGGTAAGCGAGATGGTGAAATGAAGAACTTTAAAGTGGTGCTGCCTGTGTTGGTTCATGGAGTAATAGGAGAAAACACCCCCCCCCCCCCCGAAGGTTGCTACAGCCCATCTGCACTGGAAGACCTTTAAAAAACAAAAACAAACCTACGTTCCACCAATTTCCTTTATCTTGGTTTGTGTCCTCTTGCAACGGAAGTTGGTGTAATGCGGACTTCAGAGCATGATTCCAGATACAAGTGCTTGGAAGTCAAGTACACAAAGTTGAATTTGACTGTAGAAAAGAGCAAGAGTCCATTAGCACCTTAAAGACTAAATATGGGGCAGGGAGTGACTGAAGTGAGCAGTGACTCACAAAAGCTCATACCCTGCCCTATATTTTGTTAGTCTTTAAGGTGCTACTGGACTCTTGCTCTTTTCTACTGCTACAGACTAACACTGCTACCCATTTTGAATGTGACTGTAAGTGTTCGTTTGCTTTGACATTCTTCTGTGTCTAAAATTAGTCTGAGACAATGTTTGCAAAGGAAGTATTTCACAGTTGTTTTTTTAAAAAAATATGGAATTGGGGAACCTAATTTCACTTTCTGCTTCTTCCAGCCCAGTGGAGTTCCAGACTTCCACTCAGCAGGTGATAATGCAACTTTTATTACAGTTACGTATGTGAACACCATCTGTTGCTGTGCAAAGCATCTGTGGATTGAGACAAAGGAATATTACATTTTTTAGGAGGGTACTTCTTAATCTTTTCCTGTATCTTATGTCCCTTTATTTTTTACAGTTGTTGATTCAGTGTTTTGTATTGTAAATTGAAAGCCCTGTGTTCCACGGATTGATTGATTGATTTAAAACATTGGTGGCTTTCTTCCATATGGAGCTCAAGGTGGTGTCACAGTTTAGGACTGCTAGTAAACTAACCAAATGCATCTCTAAATAAAACCATCTTCAACTGACTCCTAAAGAGTGAGGGGGCCTGATGCATCTTCCTGGGGAGGCTGTTCCATAACTGAGTAGCTGCCACTGATGTCTCCATCAAACAAATGCCTTTGATTGATGGAACAGTCAGGGTCTTTCCCTGTGATCTTTATTCCCAGGCAGGAACATATGTCAGAAGACAGTCCTTCAGATACCCTTCTCTCAAGCCATGTAGGGCTTAAAGGTCAAAATGAACAATTTGAATTGAGCTCGGAGCAGATCAGTTGCCTCTGTAATTGCTGTAGTTATCAGAATCACATGCTTCTGTAAGCTGGCCTCAACTACAGTTTAGCCACAGCATTCTGCACTGGCTACAGCTTCTGATACTCTTCAAGGGTAGCCCCAAGTAAAGCACATGGCAATAATCCACTCTAGATGTAACAGGTATGGATCACTGTAGCTAGATCCAACTGACACAGTTGCGCATCAGCTGACGGTGGGTGAAAGCACTCTGAGCTACTGAAGCCGCTTGGTTTTCTAATACAGCTATTGTGTTGAGTAGCACCTACCCCTTCATTAGATTAGTTCTTTTAAAGTTCCAACAACTTTTTAAAAAGTTGCTATAGGAAGTCAGTGTTCTTAAAATCATGATAAATTTGAGTAATTTATGACCTCTTATTTACACTTGTGAATTAGATGACCCATCTGTGAAGGAACAGACAGCATCAGAGAGGAGTGGTTAGATTTTGAGTAACTTAGGTGGAACTGCTCGGTGTGGCTAATGTGGAGGGGAGACATTTAGACTTTGGGTATTACATTTAGTACATCTGTTGTAAGGACATACAGTCTATCACAAAAAATGAATCCAGTAACTTGTATTAAATTTGCAATGCAGGCAATTACATGGCAATACATAACTTTCCAGAAAGGAAACATATACAAACATGAATTCAGTATTGCAGTACAACAGAATTGTTATTGCTTCATGCTTACAATGAAGTATAACCATATGATACGATTTAGGTGGTAGCTGTGTTGGTCTGAAGCAACAGAACTTGAATTTTGTTCACATGATACAACATACTGATGCTTCTAAACCACAAAACAATACATTTTTCTCTAGGTTTGGTATAAAGATGAGAAAATGGTGAGGATTTCAATGAAGTTATGTTAGTGGCAGAAATTTTTGAAATGTGTGTGCTGAAAGACATACAGAGTTCTCTTCCATTCTGAGTCTGTCTGTGTAGAAGGCACAAGAGGCAGGAAATCAAATAACATGGTGTATGATGGCCCATGTGGCAAGTATTGCAGCATTAGAAGCATTTGATCACTCTACATGGTGTTATCCGCTTGTGATTAATACTTGGCTTACTACAGAAAAGATGCTGAGAAGCTGATAAACTATTCAAATTCAGTATTTCAATATTGAATATTTTATATTGTCTGCACAGATTTATGCCGCAGAACCATTGATGAATAGGTTTTTCTTCCACTTTCAGTAGAAATTACATAGAAATCAGAAACCTCATGCTAGTGTTCTTTCTGTGGTACAAAGTATATGGTAGCGATTAACAACAGAGAGAAAACAATACTTTAAAATAAACTTCAAGGGTTCTTTCCTCTTGAAAAGACAAGAGGTCATAGCTGAGGGTGCAGTCATACTGGCTGCTTTTTGGAGCTGCTAAAATCTGTTCATGAAACTAGAAGGGTGCCAACTGTGAGTACTAACTGCAGAGGTCACTGACTAAAATAATTGATTTTGGTAGACTTCTTAAAAACTATTACTCTTCAAACAATGTCCTTTCTGAGAAATTTCCTGTGGTTCTTTTTCTGATAACTCTTAAATTTACATGGATTGAAAGCACTCTGTCTTGCCAAATCACTTAAATTTTATATATCATGTTAAAATCCACACTGTTTAAGCAAGTTTCAGTGAAGTGATGGAAGTTTGTAATGGATAGATACTTTTTTTCTTTGAAAGATACAAACTATGTGGAATATTGTTGCCTAAAAACTGCTTGTCTGCTTTCTGTCTTTCAGGCTAATATATTTCTGTTGTGTTTTCATTATAGAGTGCGTTAATGTCTTCTGAGATGGATGAAATGGCTGTGTTTGCTTTTGAAGGTAAGGACCCTTGTTTTTTTACACACAGCCTTGGTTATGAGCTGAACAAACCATGCATTTGACCTTCACAGACTCAACATAGCTAATTTGGTTTTGCATGATGTCTAAACTAAGTCCGTGCTTAGAGAATCTGCAGTCATTTGGGGATACAATCCTCTGTATGTCCCTTCCCCCTTCCTCTCACAGCAGCATGGCTCTGTTTTTGCATCCTTATCAGTTTCTGAGACATCATCAGTCTTAAATCAGATCCGTTTGCATTCCTGGTCACTAGCTGTTTGCACAAAGAAGAGTAGCAGAGCATTAAGCTGATTGCAAAATGTCAGTAACAGATATGGTTATAAGAGGTGAATGACAGTGAATATAGCTGCTGTCCTAAAAAGTAATTGTGTGGTAGTTCAGGACTCGAGGTAGAAGGAACAGAGGCAAGGATCCTAAGGTACAGAGAAGGTAGAAAACGGGGCTTAGAGAAAGAATTCAGGTAAATCCAGCTGGAAAGAGAACTATACAGCTCACTAGTATGGTGACATTTTTATATACAATCCGACTATTTGATGCGTATCTTGCTATAATGTATGTAAACAGTATAGGCTGATATTTCTGTTTTTTTCTATAATTCTAGCAATAATTAAAAAGTTTCTCACAAAAGATTTCTTGACCAGTTGAATTTCCTAGTAATTCCTAAGGAGGTACTGCTGTCATGTCCACTTTTGACAAACAATTTGAAAAATATTTAATATTTTCTATTTATTTATTTTACTGAACATTTTGTGCTGTTATTGCATCTGTCAGTACAGATCTCTAAGATAGTTTACTATATCAGTTAAAATCATACTGAGAGAAACCAGCAGTCATTCACAGACAAAAACTGTGGAATGTTGACCAAAGGCCCCACACACTAAACTAATCTGGACATTTCCGAAGTATAGACAATTGTGGCAAGATCAAGTTTACTCAGGAAGAGCTGCAGCTGCTACATGAAAGCAATTTGGTAGGGCTTATCTATTGGGGGCACTTTTCTGTAGAGCAAGAACCTCTATGGAAATAATTCTAACTGAGTAGCCTTTCAGTGTTACTTGCTGGAACTCAGATTGAAATGAGTTCTGAAATGTAGCTGTTCTTGGAGGAAGAGCCCAAGAGAGGAAGATGGCTGCCACTACTCTTGCTCTCAGAGGCATTAACTACTCTCTGTACATAAGCGATCACTTCCCTTCAGCAAGGTATTACTAGGGCAGTGGTCAAGCATATGGGAAATGGTGTCCAGAACACGTCTCAAAACTTATGTTTTGTAAGTATAGATAAAGAAAAGAGTTAAGCTGCTCCAAGTAAGTAGACACTTTCTCAGTTTGAAGAATGTTACTTTGTATGATGGAGTGCTTAAATAATTTCATAATAGCCTTATCCCGGGGAGCTAAATTATTCACTGATTTTTCTGTAGCAATAATCTTTGAGGTCTGGTGTCTTGAAGTCTGTTTTTTATCATTCCGTTATATTCTCATCACTTTTTCTGTGGCCCTTAAAGGCATTACATGCTTTGTTTCCATAGAAAAGAATTGTTTACCTCAAAAATGTTGCCTCTAGCTTCCATGAAGATGTGCTACTGTTACTGTTCAGCCAGTCAATTCATGCAGTTGTGCAGAGTAGGTAGTATAAAACCATCTGAATACATCTAACCATCTCTTCATCAGTGAAATATTTTGCTTTGCTGGGCGGGCTTATAATTCCAAATGAAAGAGTTAATCATGGATTGAATATAAGAAATTGCAGTTTGCTGATTTTATTTGTAGGATGTATTAACCCAAATGTAACAGTTCTCATATTTAAAGATTAGTCAAATCTTTGAAGGTTAGATTCATCAGTGGCTATTAATTGTGGTAGCTAAATGAAACTTCCATGTACAGAAGCAGTGTTTTTCTGAATGTTACATGCTGAGGACAAATGGAGGGATGGCTGTTGTGTTCACATCCTATTTGTGACTTTCCAAGCAATCTAGCTGACTCCTGTTGAAAATAGAATGTTAAACTAAAAGGACCTTGGCTACAGCCTCGTAGCCAGAAAATGTTGCTTTAGGGGGCTGTGGAATTGGGGGGGGGCACCAGCAAACAACAGTGTTCAACCAGGAGAAATGCCAGTGAGACTCTCCTAAGCTAATTACTCCCTGAATCAGCAAGAGAATGCAAGTGACAGGGAGGAAATGACATTCTCCCTCACCAGCCCCCGACAAGTCTCCTTCCCTCACATGCACACCCATTCACCCAAGCCCAGAGAAAAACCACTCTTCCTTTCACTGAGCTAACCTTGATTTTTTTCTGCCTAGTTCTCAGACTTCGTCCTTTATTCTCCATCTCCTAAAGTAACAGCCACAGAACTTCAGGAGAGTTGCAACCAGTGTTCCCTCTAAGCCGAGTTAGTGTGAGCCAGCTCACAGTTTTTTAGCCTTCGGCTCACATATTTTTGTCTTAGCTCAGAAAGGAGGGCCCCAGAGCAAACCAATTTATTCAGTAGCCAAATCACTAGCTCACAACTTTAATGCCAGTAGCTCACAAAGTAGAATTTTTGCTCACAAGACTCCGCAGCTTAGAGGGAACATTGGTTGCAATGCTTGTGTGCACACACCACTCCTCCTTTCCATTCTCTAAAGGGGGAAGCTGAGAAATCCCTACACAGCTCAAGGAGAGAAGAGACCCTTTTGCAATCCCATGGTTGTGGTGGCGGTGCTCACGTTTCTGTAGGCTGCACTGCGTGCTCGGTAATGTAGTCTCAATGGCTTGTCAGACAGATAACATGGAGAAGGAGGTGGGGAACCAGGTGGGGAAACTCTTGGGCTGCAGAGCTTAAGCAGTCGAGGGTGAGGATGCCGTGTGCATTTGTTTTGTACTCCACTGGTATGGATCCCCTTAGTGGGTTTTGCTGCCGGTGGAGGGAATTCTGTGCATATGCTTTCTTTAACTGGTGACCCTCTTATAGAGGGGTTGGGTTTTATACAGGCGCCATCTCCCCCTGTGCTGCAAATCCATCTAGTTGCCACTTACTAAACACTCCTTCTTTAGATGTACATGGAGCAGAGAGGTGGGTGCGGATTGGAAGACCAGCACAGGGGAGGGAATGGGAGGGGAAAGGGAGAGCGGCTGCCTGTCCCTGCAATAGAAGCAGGGGGCGGGGCGGGAAGAAGAGGAGGAGTGAGAGATGTGGATGAACCGAAAGCTCCAGAATAAGCTAAGGGAGAAAAGGGAATGGAGGGAAGGTCAGACCTCTAAAGAGGAGTATATGAGAGTTACTAGGTACTACAGATCAGCCATCAGAGAAACCAAAGCTCAGTATGAGTTGGGTCTGGCCAGGGGGGGGTCGCTACAATAAGAAAGACTTCTACAGATATGTGAGAAGCAAACACAAGGTAAAAGAGGCAATTGGACCACTTTTGGGAGTAGAAGGAGAAACTCTGGTGGAGGACAGAGAAAAAGCAAACAGGCTTAATGATTTTTTTGTCTCTGTTTTCTCCCAGAAGAACTCGAGCCCATCTAGAGATTGTATAGGACATGACAGGACACCTGAGTGTCCAGTTGACATTGACAGAGAGGTTGTGGAGGGGCACCTGGCTACACTGGATGAATACAAATCCCTTGGGCCAGATGGTGTGCACCCACAAATGCTCAAAGAACTTTCTAATGAACTTGCAGAGCCTCTGGAGGACTGGGAATGTGCCAAAAGATTGGAGAAGAGCGGATATTATCCCAATCTTTAAGAAAGGGAAGAAGGATGACCTGGGAAACTACAGTCCGGTCAGTCTGACTTCTGTTGCTGGGAAGATATTAGAGTAGATTTTAACAGGATCGATCTGTAAGCATCTGAAGGACCACTTAGTGATCTGGGAAAGTCAGCATGGTTTTGTCCCCAACAAATCTTGTCAGACCAACCTGATTTCCTTCTTTGATCATGTGACAATGTTACTGGATCATGGGAACTCTGTTGATATGATTTACCTGGATTTCAGTAAAACTTTTGATAAGGTTCCCCATGACATTCTGATGGGAAAACTGGAAGACTGTGGACTGGAGTATAGGACAGTTTGGTGGATAGGGAACTGGTTAGAGGACTGCACCCAAAGAGTGGTGATCAGTGGCATTTCATCAGATGGGAGGGAGGTGTCCAGCAGGGTGCCGTAGGGCTTGATTTTGGCCCTGGTACTTTTCAATATTTTTATCAGTGATCTGGATGAAGGGGTAGAAGGCCTACTCATTAAATTGCTGATGATACCAAATTGGGGGAAGTAGCAAACCCCCAGGAAGATAGAGTTAAAATTCTACAAGACCTGAATACTCTGGAGAAGTGGGCAGTTGCAAACAGGATGCAATTCAACAAAGATAAATGCACGGTATTACATCTGGGCCACAAAAATGTCAAGCACAAATACTGGATGGGGGATACGTTTCTGGGGAGCAGTGTATGCGAAAGAGATCTTGGGATAAGAGTGGACTGTAAACTAAATATGAGCAGTCAGTGTGATGCGGTGGCAAAAGAGGCAAATTCAGTCCTGGGTTGTATTAAAAGGGCCATAGCATTGAAATTGCAGGAGGTTGTAGCCCCTCTGTATACTGCCTTGGTCAGGCCGCACCTTGAGCACTGTGTGCAGTTCTGGAGGCCTCACTTTAAAAGAGTTGTGGGCAAAATCGAGAGGGTGCAGAAGAGAGCAACAAGGATGATCAGGGGTCTGGAGACTGAGCCCTACGAGAAAAGGCTAAGGGCCTTGGGAAAGAAGACAAGATTGAGGGGGGACATGATTGCTCTCTTTAAATATCTGAAAGGCTGTCATTTGGAGGAGGGCAAGGAGCTGTTCCAGTTGGCAGCAGAGGATAGGACCTGAAGCAATGGGTCTAAATTATATGCAAAAATGTATTGGCTGGATATTAGGAAAAACTTTTTCATGATCAGAGTGGTTCCGAGGTAGAATCAGCTGCCTAGGGAGGTGGTAAGCTCCCCTTCAGTGGCAGCTTTCA